GCCACCCCTGGGCTTGTTATCTCAGGTTGTATAAGAAATCAGGCTGAGCCGGGCAGTAGTGGAGCACGCCTTTAATCCCAGCTCTTGGCAGGCAGATGCAGGTGGGTCTATGTGAGTTCAAGGCCATCCTGGTCTACAGGGCAAGTGCCAGAGGCTCCAAAGCTACACAGAGAAACTCTGTCTCAAAAAACCAAATAAAAAGAAGGAAGGAAGGAAGAACAGATGGATGGACGGACGAATGAAAGAAAGAAAGAAGGAAAGAAAGAAAGAAAGAAAGGAAGGAAGGAAGCAGTCTGAGCAAGCCACGAAGTGCAAGTCAGTAAGCAGCATTCTTCTGTGGCTTCTGCATTAGTTCCTCCCTTCAGGTCCCTGCCCTGCTTCAGTTCCTGTCCTGACATCCTTTGATGATGAATTCTGATGTGGAAGTGTAAGCTGAATAGCACACCTGAGTTTCTTTGGTCATGGGAAGACACCTACCCAGTCATGATACATATGAACCACAATTATCAGCATGATACAATACTCCGAAGATGCAAAGGTGGCACTTATATGTAGGTGATAGCCAATAGCTGTCTAATTGGACTTAAAGGCCACTCAAAAGGAAGGAAATAATGCCTTGTTCTGTAGACCTAGCCAAGTACTCTTGGCTAGTGAGGTCGTGGATCTTAGAGGAGATTGTACTATTGTCACTCTATGAAACCAGTCTAATCCCTCACTACATTCTAAGTACTTCACAGATACCTACTCTACCACTCTGTTTCTTACTCCCTTGAGACAAGGTTTCTCAGTGACCCTGGACATAGACTCTTGGCCAAAAAGCTTTGGTGTTTCTCTTGTCACAGGCTCATGGCCACACATGGCATTTTTCAGGAGTGCTGGAGATTCAAAATTGTGTCTTCATGTTTCAGCACCATGTCCTCTTATCCACAGAGCTCTTACCCATCATCAGTAGCTTCTTATGAAGCAGATGGAAACCATTACACAAAATCACAACTGGTTAAAATGCAGAGAATAGTTGACTGGTGAGATAAACTACTCCACTGATACATCTATAATGCAGACCCTACATATAATGTTCAGGGAACATTGTAGAAGATGAGGGAGAAAGATCATAAGAGCCAGAAAATAGGATGTCTGCTGCAAGTTTGTGTCTAAAGATATGGCAAGGACGCACACCTGTGAAATCTCAACAGTATGGCTGCTTAAAGAAGACATGGACAATGACCACACCAGTTGATATTCTATTGTGGATGGGAGTATCTCACAGGCCCCATCCCTAGATGAAGAACTTTGGTGACTACCGCAAAGGAGCATTAGCCTTTCCCAGGGATGATCTTCTAATGGTTATCCAGTATTAAGTGGTCTCCAGAAGCCCTATAATCACATACATACAAGCAACACTACATGCATTCAGAAGTTTGCATGTAAATATTTATTTGAATATATATATACATATACATATATGTGTGTGACAAATATATTTCTTTAATTAAAGAAATATGGGTCATGAATTTGAGAGAGAGCAGGGTGGGCTATGTAAGAAAAAAAAGTCATTGTAAAAATGAGAAAGAGAAACACCTTTGTTTCTTAAGTTTGTTTTTTCTTAGAAAATTCCCTGCTCCAATTCCACTAAAGAGTTTTGTAGTGATATTCTTATGATCAGTGGTTAACAAATTCCATTGAAACACATATACACACATACACACACAAACAGAGAGAGAGAGAGAGAGAGAGAGAGAGAGAGAGAGAGAGAGAGAGAGAGAGAGAGAGAGAGAGAGAGAGAGCCTGGCTCTATTTGGCCAATGTTTGCCAACCTCATCTAGCCACTTGTTTTTTTAAACTGTAAATAATAGAAATAATAGTATAAACAGTCAGATAAAATCAGAAGAATATTTCATGTCAGGAAAGTATATGACATTCAAAATTTAGTGTTTATGTTGGAGGACTGACTATGAAGGAAAGGAATAAGCCTGAAGGAAGGGGGAGGTAACAAGAAAGGTTAACAGAACATGTATGTCATGAAAAGAGGGAGGGTGTCTGGGAGAGGAAGAGGCCAGGAAGAGAGGGAGGGCAGAGGACAGACAGCAAGAGAGAACAACAGTTGATGATGCAAATAAACTAAAATGCCACGGAGCCCATCTCTGGATGCTAATCAAAACAGTGAAAGAAATAGCATGGCATTGTAGCCATAGCAAAACACCAAAATAAAACAAATAGTAATGTCCATAAACAGAGCATGGAGCACAGTTGGATCAGAGCATGGCCATTTGCTGTTCTGTCCTCTGTTCTGTCTTTGAGACTGTGACGGCAGAGCTGGATGAGTGTGACAGAGACCCACAAATCCTACAATATTAGCCATCATGTCCTTTACTCAGAGTTTCCCACCTTTTCTCTTGATATGTCAAAGCATGCCATGTGGATTGAGCATTTACTATGAGGCTGTTATTCAGGTTCTGAGATAAGACACCATATCAGGACTTAGAGTCAATGAAAAGTGCTTTCTCTTCAATTGTTCTTGCCAGCATTAGTGGCTCACGCCTTTAATCCCAGCACTTGGGAGACAGAGGCAGGCAGATCTCTATGAGTTCGAGGCCAGCCTGGTCTACAGAGAGAGTTCCAGGACAGTCTCCAAAACAATACAGAGAAATCCTGTCTCAAAAACAAACAAACAAAAAAGAAAGAAAACAGCTAATAGAGAACCCATTTCCCCACAACCCTGCCGGTCAGGATCCTCTAATCCACTGAGCTGTTCAGTTACAACTCTTTAGTCCTCATAGCTTCACACTTGCTATTTTTATTCCTAAGGTTACTGCATTTCACAATTGTTGTTGCATTTGGATGTTTCTCTTAGAAACCTTGAGTCCTTCCTAATTTTCTTCCTCTGTTTCTGTTCTGAATGGGGAGTGTTGGAACTGATTAAGTCAGTTGATGCCCTTTAAGCCTGGACCATTTTTTAAGGCCCTGGAGTCTACACGTTTACTGCAAGCTGGAAGTGGAAGAAATGGTTTTCTCTGAGTGTAGCTCAGATTTCAAAGGTGGCATCTTCTAGCCTTGAAAGGCAGCAGTGCTCAAGGTCAGGCCCTTGGCACTCAGAGCATGTGCATCTCTGGATCTCTGGTTTTGGTGAGGCTGTCCTCATTGCCCTAATGTCAGAGAGAGGAAGACAGGGGTGTGAAGTATATGAATTATGACAGTGAAGACTGAATACAGTTCTACTGTCAGCCTTCAATTCTCCAAGCCTTAGTCTTCTGGTCCCCAAGGTGAGACAATAGCAGTCTCTCTCTCAAGAGTGTGTGTGGGATTTAAGCACAAGTGGGCAGCCAGTGAAGCCCTGGGCACAGGGCCTGATGTGAGCATCTGATGATCCTGTGACCAATGGGAAGTGAGCGATGAGGGATCCTGTGCTAATTCTCCTGCCTGTCAGTTCTCTGCCCAGAGAGCCAGCTGTGTTCTGGTGCTGGAGAAGACACTGTACTTAATTCTGAGAGCCTCCTGGAAGCAGCATTGAGCTAAACCGTGAGAATACAGGTGAAGGACCTCTAGGCTGCTCTCTAGTGTTCTCTAGGAGCAGGATGCTATGCTGGCACTTTGTCCCAGGGGACTGAATTTTTGCTTTACCTTAAGAAGTTCATGTCACCTGATCCGTGAGATTAGGCTTTCATCTGGAGGACACCTTATCCCAGGAGTTTCCTGATTCCTGTGCTATGGGTTTGAAGGGGTTTCCCAGCCCTCAAACACCCACTCTGATGTTGGAAGATTGGGTGACACTTGGCTTAGAAACTCAAGGTCTCTGGGTGTGGCTGTAAAAGTTTGGTGAAGGTATGAGTGGGGCTCTCTCAGTGAGAAACTACAGGAAGGAACAGCCAGTTCTCCAATACCTACTGTGATTCAGACACTTACATTTTGCCCTCTCACTATGATCCCGTGAGATGGCATGATGGCTGGTGTTATAAACTGCAGAGAAACAAAGAGCCTAGCAGAAATGTCCCTGGGAGGATGTGTGAGGGTAAGTTAGATCAAGTGAGGTGGGAAGGTTCACCCTAATTGTAGGTGGCACCATGGCAAGGGCTGGAGCCCTGGACAAATAAAGAGTGAGCAGAGAAATAGCACTCAACTCTTTCTGTTTCACAATTAAACACAGCGGGACAGATGTTTCAGTCCCTTGTAGTTATGGAATTTCAGCCATAAAAGACTAGATTCTCAATCTGTGGAAAAAATAAACACTTTATATGTTAAATTGCTTTTGTCACAATAACTAATACCTCTGGGTTAATAAATTTTAATGGGATACATCATGCAGCTTAGGTTGTTCTGGGCCTCAGGCTCCTACAGTGTAATGTTTGGTAGGAAGACTGGACTTTGAAGGGAGAGACAAGACCCAGGAGAAGGCAGGATTTTCACAGAGCAGAAAAGTTTGAATGAAGCAGGAATCATTTCTCAGGCTCCCATTGTACTATATTCCAGTCCTGCATCTGTCTCTATGTGCTATGAGCTAGGGGAAGTTAACCTCTTTCTCTAGACCCTGTGAAATGGGGAGCAGTTGCTACTTTGATGCCTGAGAGGAGGAAGAGACAGGGTGTGGCCCGAGTATGCTGAGTAAGTAACTCAGCAAAGGAAATTGTCAGAAGCTGAGGCAGGGGCCTACCCTCTACTCAGGATCCGTCTCAAGAGAAGAGACCTTCTTGGAACTTCAGGATCCACATGAAACCTGGGATTTTAGTCCACATTAATGTTATGAGCTCAATTCTGGTGCCAGTTGGGCTAGGCTCACTACTGATGCCATGTTTTCCAGGTTTCCCTTATGTCAAATGCACCTTCAGCAGTGCAGAGCCCAGAGCAATCATTCCTAGTCATTGACTCTTAGGATTCCTCCACAGCTTCTTTGATTTTCCATTTTAGTTGCCTATTCCAGGTCCCCACACAAGGGAAGACTCACCTGTGAAGAAAACATCACTTATGTGGACTTAGAAGTCCCACCCACAGCTCTTAGCTCAGCTTACCTTTGGTTCCAAATCCAGAGTCCTCAGGTTCCCAATCAATAAGCCTCTTTTCACCCACTGTCGGAATTGTTATCGGCAGTGTATGACTGGGGCTCAGTACATGAGAGGAGACTTGAAAGATAGGGGAATCTACATCAGGTGGGCTTGTTGAATTAGGAAATGATGAACCAAGGCCTATGAAAAGAGACAACATTTGTATTATTGTCAAAGAACCAGCAGTAAGAGTCAGGGTAGCAAGACTGGGGTCCTACCTGCTTTCCCCCATACCGTTTTCCACAGTCTCCTGGAGAGAATGAGGCTCTTACACGTGCTGCAGGGACATGGTCCTGCTCTGGGACCATGAAGTTCACAACCTATGCTGGTCTACTCTAGTGTCTTGTGAGTCTCAGCTCCCTCATGTGGGTCTTTGACCTTCTGACCAACAGGGACAGGTAGCATCCTACAATGTAGTTCAGGCTTGCCTCAAGCTTAGGCTCTTCCTGATTAATCTTGCTGGTTCTGAGGTTATAGGAAAATGTCCATAAGCAGTTAATAAACTTATTTTTGAAGCCATGATTTTTCTTAGTGTTTTATCTAAAACTTCAAGGTGGATACAGTGTCCAACAAACAGAGATTCTGACAAACTTCTCAGGGCTTAGGCACATATTTCCAATAAAAGCTGGCAGAAATAAGTGGCATCCCAGGGAGGAAGGTGAGAGTCTTTAGAACACAGTTTTGATACACAATGATATATGACCATGGAAGTTTGTGATTCAGTTGAATTGTTTTAGTGGAACAACTTGGAAGCTGGGAATACTGAGGACAAGAAATGAGAGAATGATATGACTGGTAGCCCAGGAAGAACCTTTGTGGGAAGCAAGACATGAATAGTCTAGTATTTGCTATAATATCATCAGTGGGGTCTTCCATAAGCCCCGTATACAAGGGGCTTCTTGTGTGCAGCATGAACATGTGAGATCTGCACATGTTAGAGAGGTGGCAGGTCATCAAAGGGTGAGCAGCATTAATGCTCAGACAATGAAACAGAGACATACTTTTTGGAATGGCTTTTACTATGACACACATTAAATGATGCCCAGGTGATAACTAGGTGCAATGGATTTTGACTCTGTATTTTCCATTCTGAAAGCTTATATTGTGGAGAAGGAAGTATAGATTTTGAACAGAAAGACAAAGTTTAGGTGTAGGCAGCACTTTTATAGAGTAGCAGCAGGAAGAAAGAATAGAAAGTTATTTCCAAGCTCCCATTGTTCTAGATTCCATCCCTGCATTTTTTCCACATGTGTTGTGAGCTTGGAAAAGTTAATATCCTCTCTAGACCTTGTGCACTGGAGAGAAGTGGCTACTTTCATACTCGAGAAGAGAAAGAAGCAAGGGCATTGCCTGAGGGAAGTTAGATTGAAGCTGAGGCAGGAGCCTGCCCTCTTTATAGGGTTCTTCTCAAGGAGAGAGACCGTTTTAGAACCCCAGGAACTGCATGACCCTGGGATTTCAGAACCCACTCATATTTTGACATTTGCACTAGGCTCACTGCTGACTACCATGGGTTTCCAGTTTCTTCAAGTTACCAAATGCAAGTTCAGCCCTGCAGACCCCAGAGGCATCATTTCTAGCCTGTGACTCTTAGCATTCCTCTACAGTTCCTCTGACCTTCTATTTTAGCTACCCATCCCTGGTCTCCCTACAGGTGGAGGCTCACCTGTGAAGAACCACCATCCAAGTGACAAGAAGTCCCATCGCCAGGTGTCAGCTCAGCTTATATTTGGTTCTGAATCTTTGGGTCCCATTTAACCATTTAGCAAGTTCCTTACCTGGCATCAGAGTTTGTCTCAGAGTTTCCAAGCTTGAGCTCAGTAGTTGTAAAGAGAGTTGGAGGGTACTGCGATAGACGAAAGGTGTCATTGTACCTCCTAGAAATGATGAAGAAATGATCATGGGAAGAGACAATGTGTGATTGTCAAAGAATCAGCCCTAGGAGTCAGGGTAGCAAGGCTGGGGTCCTACCTGCTTACCCTCAAACCCTTCTCCACAGTCTCCTGGAGTTTATGATGCTCTTACACCTGCTGCAGGGTCACAGTTCTGCTCTAAGACCATCAAGTTCACAGGCTATGGTGGTCTATTCTAGTCCCTTGTGAGTCTCCATTCTGCTCTGAGCCTCACCTCCCTTCTGAGGGTCTGCGACCTTCTGTCCCACAGGGATAGGTAGAACCTTATGTGTAGTTCAGGTTTGTTTGAGCTTAGATTCTTTCTGCTTCCATTTCATTGGTTCTTATATTTTAGGAATATGTGCAGGACCAGTTAGCTTTTTTATTTTCATAGCCTTCAGTTTTTTTTTAGGGTTTGATCTAAAACTTCAAGATGTGTATACTGTCCATTCGACAGAGAGATTCTGAGAAACTTCTTGGGTGTTCAGGTACATATTTCGAACAGCAGCTTGCAGTTATTAAGTGACATTCTAGGGAGGAAGGTGAGAAACTTCAAAATCCATTTTGATACACAAAAAAAATTGAGCATGGAAGTTCAGGATGGAGTAGAATTGCTTTAATGGAATAAGTTGGAAGCTGGGATTAGTGAGGGAAATAAATGAGAGAAGGAAACTGTTGGTAGGATAGGAGGAAGCTTTGTAGCAAGAAAGACAAGAACAGACTAATCTCTGCTACAATATCATCAGTGGAGTCTTCTCCATGTCCAAGAACCCACCTGTTCACAGCGTGAACACTTGAGATCTGCACCTGTCGGAGAGGTGCAGTGGACCAAAGGGGGAGCAATGTGACTGCTCAGATAATGAAACTGAGACACTGTCTGTGGAATGGCTTTTTCTAAGACACACGTCATATGATGCTAAGTTGACAACTACCTCAATGGCTTTTGACTCTGTACTCTTCATTCTCAAGCCTTGTTGTGTGATGGTTAAGAATGAACTTTAGGTATTTTAAGTGGTAACTTTGTGTGTCATTAAGAATATCATACTCTATTCTTTTTTCTTAACACTCATGGTTACCCAGACTTTAAATAATATATCTCATATCCAGGAAGTACTAATTGCAAAGATTGCTGACCACACCAAGTTATACATTGAAATGTCACCTTATTGCTCTGACCAAAGACTGCCTGTTCTGGTTTTAACTCATCTGTGAAGCATTTTCCCTGAACTCTTTTCTGAAAGATTCCTTCAAGCATGAGCAGCCTGATTTTCCATTTCATATTGATGAACAGACTGTTTAGAGAAAATGGGAATTTTACTGTGAACAGAACGGAGTGGGACAACAAAGATGGATGTTCACTTTCAGTATTGTATTTGAGAGGGAGAAATAGCACAGCTAGGAGCCTCTAACATTATCAAATGTTTTACATAGTCTGTTCATAAAATTCCCTTTTTCTGTTTGTAAGAAGAAAATGCTGTAATTATTTGTAATGACATTTTTTTTAAACCAGGCCAAAAAGGAAAAAAAAAAGGTTTTGGGGAACAAGTTAACATATAAAGTGATTTTATAGAAAACAGAAATTGTCTTATATGTTTTGATAAGCAGCAGTGCCAGATTTCATTTGTAATACAGCTTGTGTTATTGGAAGAAAAGGATTCTGTAATTGTCTAAATGAATTATGTTATAAACGCAAAGAGGAGAATATATTAAAAACCATATTTTTCTTAAAAAATTAACTTTAAAGGGAAAGACAAGGGTTAGGTGTAGGTAAGAATTTTTCAGAGTAGCAGCAGGATTCCTGAACAGCAAATACTTTCCCAGGCTCTGTTCTAGATTCCAATCTTGCATGTGTCTCTATATCCTGTGAGCTAGGACAAACTAACCTCTCTCTGTAGACCTTGTGCACTGGAGAGAGGTGGCTACTTTGATGTTTGAGAAGGGGAAGAGGCAAGGGTAGGGTTTGCATAAGTTGAAATAAGGGAAGTCAGGCTGAACCTGACTGAGGCAGGAACCTTCCTTTTCCCTGAATACAAACTAGTCAGGTTCCCATTTAAAAATCCCTTACCTGACAGCAAAATTTCATTCAGCTTTTCAAGACTTGAATCCAGTAGTTGTAAGGATTTATGGAGTGTAGTGGGATCCACGTCCAGCATGATTGTTAAGTCTGGAAACAGTGAAGAAATGGCCATGGGAAGAGACAGTGGTTGTATGATTGTTGGAGAAGCAGAAGTAGGAGTCAGGGTAGCAAGGCTGGCGTCCTACTTCTTACCCTCATACCCTTCTCCACAGTCTCCTGGAGATGATGCTCTTACACCTGCTACAGGGACATGGACTTGCTCTAGGACCATGAAGTTCACAACCTATGCTGTCCTACTCTAGTCCCTGTGTGAATCTCCATTCATCTCTGAGGCTCAGCTCCCTCATGAAGGTCTCTGACCTTCTGACCAACAGGTATCAGTAGCACCTTATGTGTTGTTCAGGTTTGCCTTGAGCTCAGATTCTTCCTGCATCCATTTCATTGGCTCTTACACTTTAGGAATATGTGCAGGACACGTTATTTTCTAAGCCTTATGATTTTTCTTAGTGTTTGATCTAAAACATCAAGGTATATGTAGTATCCATCAGACAGAGAGATTCTGAGAAACTTCTTAAGGGTTGAGGTACATGTTTTGAAAAACAGCTGACAGTTACTAAGTGCTAGGGAGAGGAAGGTAGGAGTTTTTAAACCATGGTTTTGATACACAATGAAAATGGGCATGGCAGTTTGGGATGCAGTAGAGTTGTTTTAATGGAACAACTTGGAAGCTGGGAATAGTGAGGAAAAGAAATGAGAGAAGGAAACTTATGGCAGCCTAGGAGGAAGCTTTGTGGGGAGAGAGTCAGGAACAGTCTAGATGATTACAATATCATCAGTGGAGTCTTCCATAAGCCCCATGTGCCAGGGCCTTCTTGGGGGCAGCATGAACACGTGAGATCTGCACCTGTCGGAGAGGTGGCAGTGGAGCAAATGGGGAGGAATGTGAATGCTCAGATAATGAAACTGAGACACAGACTGTGGAATGGACTTTTCTAGGATACACATTAAATGATGTCAAGGTACAACTAGGTTAATGACTTTTTGCTCTGTACTCTTTATTCTCAAGGCTTACTGTGGGAAAGGAAGAATGGACTTTGAAGGAAGAGACAAGGGTTAGGTGTGGACAGGACTTTCACAGAGTAGCAGGAGGATAAATGTGGAGGAAATCATTTCCAGGGCTCCTGTTGTTCTATATTAAAGCCCTGCAATGTGTCACTATGTGCTGTGAACTTGGATAAGTTAATCTCTTCTCTGTATAGAAACCTGAGGGGGGGAAGAAGCAAGGGTGTGGTCTGTCTAAGCTGAAATAAGGGAAGTCAGGATGAAGCTGAGGCAGGCGACTTCTTCTACTTGGGGTCCATCTCAAGGGAGGAGACCCTCTTAAAACTTCAGGACCTGAATGACCCCTGGGATTTAAGAACATACCCATATTTTGAACTTAATTCTGGGTGCCATTTGGGCTAGGGTCACTGCTGGCCCCAAAGGGTACCAGTTTCTTCATGTGTCAAAAACAACTACAGCATTGCAGAGCCCAGAGGCATCATTTCTAGTCTGTGACTCTTAACATTCCTCCACGGCTCTTCTTATCTTCCACTTTAGTTGCTTGACCCAGGTCCCCTCACAGGTGGAGGCTCACCTGTGAAGAACCCCCATCTGTGTGGACTAGAAGTCCCATGCCCAGCTGCCAGCATAGCTTACATTTGTTTTTGAATACAAACATCTCAAATTCCCATTTAACAAGCATCTTACCTGACCTTAGAGTTCGTCTCAATTTTTTAAGTTCTGATCTCAGTAGTTGTAAGGCGCTTGTGATGAGAGTGAGATCCATGTAGCATGTAGTTCCTGAGTCTGGAAATGATGAAGAAAGATCTTGAGAAGAGAGGTTGGTTGTGTGATTGACAGAGAACCAGCAGTAGGAGTCAGGGTAGCAAGGCTGGGGTCCTATCTGCCTATCCTCATATCCTTCTCCACAGTCTCATAGTGAAAATGATACTCTTATACAGGCTGCAGGGACATGTTCCTGCACTTGGAGCCATGAAATTCACAACCTATGCTGCTCTACACTAGTCCGTTGAGTGAGTCTCCATTTCACTCTGAGCCTCAGCTCCCTCAGGTGGGTCTCTTGACCCATTCCACAGGGATAGGTAGCATCTTAAAGCAGAGTTCAAATTTGTCTCTAGCTCAGTTTCTTCCTGCATTAATTTCACATGTCCAGGGTTTATAGGAATATTTCCACTACCAGTCAGTAATCTTATTTTTGAAGCCTTATGATTTTCCTTAGTGTTAACCTAAAACTTCAAGGTGGATAGAGTGTCCACCTGATAGCAATTCTGAGAAACTCCTTGGAGACTCAGGTACATATTTCAAAACAATACCTGACAGTTATTAAGTGGCATCCTTTGAAGGAATGTGAGAGTGTTTAAAACACTGTTTTGATACACAAATCTTGGTGTCAGTGAGGAGGCCTCAGCAATCTATGGGGTTTTGGATAGTAGTTCAGTATTTATCCCTGGCATACGAATAGACTTTGGGAGCCCATTCCATGTGGAGGGATGCTGTCTCAGCCTGGACACATTGTGTGTGTGGGGGTGGGAGCTAGGCCCTGCCTCAGATGATATGACATACTTTGGAGATTCCCCCATGGAGGACCTCACCCTCCCTGGGGAACATAGTGGGGATTGTGTGGAAGGTTGGGTGGGTTGGTGGGGGACGGTGGAGGAGGGGAAAGAGAGGGAGCTGGGATTAATATGTGAAGCAAGCTTGTTTCTAATTTAAATAAAAAAGAGACAAAAAAGAAAAAATGGTAAAAGAAAGAAAGAAAGAAATCTGAACATGTAAGTTCTGGATGGAGTGGAATTGTTTTAATGGAACAACTTGGAAGCTGGGAATAGTGAGGAAAAGAAATGAGAGATGGAAACTGTTGATAGCATGGGAGGAAGCTCTGTGGGGAGCGAGACATGAACAGTGTAATCTGCTACAATATCATCAGTGGAGTCTCCCTAAGCCCCATGTGCAAGAACCTTCTCATGTGCAGCTTGAAGATGTGAGATCTGCACATGTTGCTGAGTTGGCATCTGAACAAAGGGTGAGCTGTGTCAATGCTCAGATATTGAAACCGAGACACAGACTGTGGAATGGCTTTTTCTAAGACACACATTAAATGATGCCTAGTTGACAACCAGGGAAAATGGCTTTTGACTCTGTAGTCTTCATTCTTAAGGCTTAATATAAGCTTGGGAAAGTATGGGCTTTGAATGGAAAAAAGGATTAGGTGTGGGCAGGACTTGCACGGACTAGTAGCAGGATGAGGAGGAAGAACTCATTTCCCAAGCTCTCGTTGTTCTAGACTCCATTCCTGCATCTGTGTCTATGGTCTGTGAACTTGTACAAGTCAATCTCTCTCTCCAAAACTTTTACACTGGAAGGCAGTGGCTACTTTGATGTTGAAGAAGAGAAAGAGGCCAGGAGGATGTTGTCTGTGTAAGTTGAAATATTGAAAGTCCTGAGTCAGGAGCCTACCCTCTCCTTGGTGCCATTTGTAGGAAGAGACCTTCTTGGAACTTCTAGAGTTGCAGAATCCCTAGGATTTCAGTTCCCACTCATATTTTGAGCTGAACTCTGGGTGCCATTTGGACTAGGCTCCCTGCTGACCCCCATGATTTTCATTGTCTTCGTGTATCAAATGCAGCTTCAGCATTGCAGACCCCCAGAGGCATTATTTCTAGTCTGGTATGTTTAACATTCCTCCACGTCTACTTTGACCTTCCATTTTAGTTGCCTGTCCTAGGTCCCCACATAGGTGGCGGCTCACCTGTGAAGAATCACCATCTATGTTACTAGAAGTCGCATCCACAGGTACCAGCTCAACTTTTATTTGGCTCTGAATCCAGAGTCCTCAGGTTCTCATTTAACATGCTCCTTACCTGACATCAGAATGTGTCTCAGATTTCTGAGGCTTGATATCAGTAGCTTTATGGAGCTTTGGAAGGCAGTGACACCTATGTAGGTTGTGAATCTTGAGCCTAAAAGTTGAAGAAAGGGTCATTGAAAGGGACAGTCATTGTTTGATTGTCAGAGAACCAGCTATAGGAGTCAGGGTAGCAAGGCTTGGGTCCTACCTGCTTACCATCATACTCTTCTCCACAGTCTCATGGAGAAAATGATGCACTTACACCTGCTGCAGGTACGCAGTCCTGCTCTGGCACCATGAAGTTCACACATATATGCTGATCTACTCTAGTCTTTTATGTGAGTCTCCTTTCCTCTCTGAGTCTCAGCTCCCTCATGTGGGTCTCTGACTTTATGTCCCACAGAAATAGGTAGCATCTTATGTGTAGTTCAGACTTGCCTCAATCTCAGATTCTTCCTGCATTAATTTTGTTCATTCTGTGATTATAGAAATGTGTGTGACCAGTTAGTAACCTTATTTTTTATGTCTGTGATTCTTTAGTGTTAGATCTAAAACTTCAATGTGTGTTTACTGTCTATTAGACAGAGAAATTCTGAGAGAATTCTTGGGGGCTCAGGTAAATATTTCAAATAGTAACTGACAGTTACTGAATGGCATCCTAGGGAGGAAGATAAGAGTGTTTGAACCACTGTTTTGATGCACAATGAAAATGAGGTTGGAAGTTCAAGATGGAGTGGAATTGTTTCACTGGGAATAGTGAGCAAAAGAAATGAGAGAAGAAAACCGATGGCAGTCTAAGAGGAACCTTTGTGGGGAGAGAGACAGGAACAGTCTAGTAGGGTGCAATATCATCATTAGAGTCTTCCCTAATCCCATGTGCAAAGGCCTTCTTATGTGCATCTTGAAGATGTGAGATCTACACATGTTGGAACAGTGGCAGAGAACAAAGGGTGAGCTGTATCAATGCTCAGATTATGAAACTGAGACACTGTCTGTGAAAAGGCTTTTTCTAAGACATACATTAAATGATGTTGGGATGACAGCTAGGGGCAATGTTATTGACTTGTAGTCTTCATTTTCAAGATTTATTGTGGGGAGAAAAGAATGGACTTGAAGGAAGAGACAAGGGTTATGTGTGGGCAGGACTTATACAGATTAGCAGCAGGACGAAGGAGGAGGAAGTCCTTTCCCAGGTTCTTATTGCTCTAGATTCTGGCCCTGCATGTGTTGTGAACCAGGACAAGTTAACCTGTGTCTCAAGACCTTGTTCACAGGAAAGAGGTGGCTACTTTGACGATTGAAAAGAAGAAGAGACAAGCCTGTGTAAGTTGAAATAGTAGAAGTTGTGCTGACGCTGAGGCACCTCTCCTTGGTGCCATTTACAGGAAGAGACCTTCTTGGAACTTCTGGAGCTGCAGCACCCCTGGGATTTCAGAACCCATTCGTATTTTGAGCTGAACTCTGGGCACCATTTAGGCAAAGCTCACTGCTGACCCCATGATTTCCAGTTTCTTCATGTGTCAAATGCAACTTCAGTCCTGCAGAGCCCAGAGGCATCATTTCTAGCCTGTGAATTCTAGCATTCCTCCATGGCTCCTCTTATCTTCTACTTTTGTTGCCTGTCCCATGTCCCCAAAAAGGTGGAGACTTACCTGTGAAGAACCACCATCTATGTTGACTAGAAGTCACATTCCCAGCTGCCAGCACAGATACATTTGGTTCTGAGTCCTGAATAATCAGGTTCCCATTTAACAAGCCTCTTACCTGATATCAGAAGGCATTCCACTTTTCTAATACTTGTGTACAGTAGATGTAAGGAGGTTTCAAAGGTACTATCATCCACATACGGTGTGATTGTTGAGCCTGGAAATGATGGAGAAAGGGCCATGGGAAGAGACAGTAGTTGTGTGATTGTCAGAGAACCAGCAGTAGGAGAAGGGTAGCAAGGCTACTTGCTTACCCTCATACCCTTCTCTACTCTCTCATGGAGGGATTGATGCTCTTAAATCTGCTTCAGGAACATGTTCCTGCACTGGGACTGTGAAGTTCACACACCTATGCTGGTCTACTCTAGTTCTCTTTGTGAGTCTCCATTCTTTTCTGTTCTTTAGCTCCCTCAAATAGGTTTCTGAGTTTCTATCCCAGAGGGCCAGGTAGGATCCTACTGTGTAGTTCGGGCTTGCCTAGAACTCAGAGTCTTCTGGCATTAATTTCATACGTTCTGGGATTATAGGAATATGTCCATGACCAGTTAGTAACCTTATTTTTGAAGCCATATAATTTTTCTTAGTGTTTGATCTGAAGCTTCTAGGTGAAGATAGTGTCCATCAGACAGAGTGATTCTGGGAAAGTTCTTCTGGACTCAGGTAGACATTTCAAATAGTAGCTGATAGTTACTAAGTAGCATCCCAGGGATGAAGGTGAGAGTCTTTAAAACACAGTTTTGATACACAATGAAATTTGAGCATGGATGTTTATGATGGTGTGGAAGTGTTTCAACAGAACAACTTGAAATCTGGGAATAGTGAGGACAAAATGAGGGGAGGAAACTGGTGTTAGCATAGGAGGATCCTCTGTGAGAGAGACATGAACATGAGGAGGACTCAGTGGAACTCACTGGGGTCAGCCACTCAACTGCATAGCAATCTATGGTGAAGTTAGTAAAGTAAGGTATATAGAAAGGTAAGCTCCCAGAGAATAGATAGATGGGATGATTTATGTTAAGAAAAACTGGATGAACACAAGTCTTCATGCTTTCATAAGTCAGAATGTGACTCTGGAATATTTGGGAGCTGGGTAACAGCCCCCCCCCCAAAGAGTCAAAGAGTAAAGAAACAATCTATAAGTGAGATTCCGACAAATTTCTTGGAGGCTGAAGCACACATTTCAAGTAATTACTGATGGTTAGTAAGTGGCATCCTGCTAGGTCTTGGTGGCACATGCCTTTAATCCCAGGACTCAGGAGGCAGAGGCAGGTGGATCTCTGTGAGTTCGAGGCCAGCCTCGTATACAGACGGAGTTCCAGGACAGCCTCCAAAACAATACAGAGAAACCTTGTCTCAATAATAACAAACAAAAAAAGTGACATCCTTGGAAGGAAAGTGTGAATCTTTAAAATATAGTTTTGTATCACAATGAGATGTAATTATGGAAGCTCAGTATGGTGTGGAATTGTGACAGAGAGGAGAGAGAAAGAGAGAGAGAGAGAGAGAGAGAGCTTAAGAAGAGAGTGTGTGTTGTGTGGTGGCATAATATTTTGGTATACTGTGATGATGTGTCTTTACCAAGGTGTTTTTTGTTGGTTTAAGGAAGAACTGAATGGTCAAATCTTGGCTGGAAGAGGTTAAGTGGGACTTCAGGGCAGAGAGGAAGAAGACATGAATGCACTTGCAGGAGAGATGCCAGAGGGCACAGGGACCAAATAGGAGGTGCATGATGGAAGAGCGGTAAAAAGCTTCGAGGCAAACCATAGATTAATATAAATGTGTTAATTTAAGTTATAAGGTCTAGTAGGGCAAGCCTAAGATATAGGCTGAGCTTTTATAATTAATAATAAGTCTCTGTGTCTTTGTGTGTGTGTGTGTGTGTGTGTGTGTGTGTGAGTGAGTGAGTGAGTGAGTGACAGAGAGGAGAGAGAAAGAGAGAGAGAGAGAGAGAGAGCTCAAGGCCAATAGAAAAATCTGTCTGCAAGTGTGTACAGAAGTGAAAATGATAAAAGGCAAGTCAGTAGACGAAAATGACTGAAGCTGAGGCAGGGGCCTACCATCTTCTCAAGGTCCATAACTGGAGTCTGCCTCTGCCCAGGTCTAAAATCTGGACTTGTTACTAAAGTAACTCAAGGCTTTTTTGGGGAGAGCTGGTTTGAACCCTGTGCTCACCCCTCTTAGAGCCATTCTGAGTGCCAGTCTCTCCCCACTTCTGCATCTTCAGAGTGCTCCTCCCCTGGGGCCTGAGGATACACTCCTGCAGAAGAGGGTGGGGCGCTAAGGTTCACTTAGGGGTTTCTACATGTCTCCTGGGTTCAGACTCTCCTGGGCTTGTGAGCATTTCTGATAGAGGTTAGTTTGCTATGGAAACAGTGACAGGAGGGCTCAGTAGTGATGAAGTGGTCACGGTAGTTGTGGGTTGGGGTCCTTGGTGTACTTACTTAGCATCAAGTCCTTCTCTGCCTCAGATTTGATCTCCTGCAGCTCCAGGTCCATCTGCTTCCTCTTGTCATGGGTGGGGTCCAAGACCTGTTGACCCTTATGCTGAGCCTCCTTGGTGCCATCCACCTTCTTGGGCTGAGCTTCTTCCATGGTGACAGAGCTCTCAGACGATGCTTGGCTGTGCAGCTCGCACTGGTCCTGCCTCACTTCTCCCTTCTGTTGCTGCTCCAAACAGGAGGCCAGGGCATCCTTGTCTCTGATGGCCATTTCTGCTCCAGGAAAGGGTGTGTGATCAGGATTGATGGCGGAGAGCTGGAAATAGAAGAAAGGGCAGAGCAGCGTCTACAGGGACAGACTGTCCTCTGATTAGAACCCCTGAAAGACTCTGGTCTCTCCTGGGGATGGAGACTGTGTGTCCAGGTGCAGGGGCTTGGGCTTTATAGGGCAGAAGAGGGAACTCTGGGAGAAAGGTTTATCAGTGGATGCGTTCTTTACAGTTTCATGAATGATGTTGGCTTTCCTTTTAGGCAGATGTGCTAATCATTATGCTGAGTCTGGTGGTGGGGGCGCACTCAGCTTGTCTAAAGTTTCTTCTTTTAGGTCTTTAAGTTCATTTATCTGACCCCAAACCTGATGAAAGGAAGGGCTGTTTCTTGCAGGAGGGAAATGATGGAGATGGGGCTAGGCTCTGTCCCTAGGGCGGAATAGGGCAAAGGCTGGGTTGACTTCATGAACCAGGAAAGGAGTTGTAACTTAATCTATCACGGTTATTTCTGTGATTGTCACCATTTTCTCCTTTAGAAAACTTCAGAAACAACTAATAGACAGGGGTTATAATGAATAAAATAAGACTGAAGACAGGGGACCCAGTCCTAGGTCACCACTCAGGGACCTATCCAGAGCCAACTAAGCTGGAAGGACAAATTACTCAGAGAAAACCAAAGAGCCATAGGGACAATTGTGGGGTGGGTTACGCTGACCCAAGACTTTCCCAGGGGTCACAATGAAAGGATAAAGGTAACATTAGTTCTGTATCTTTGTCCATGGGCAGAATTGGTGAGGCCAGTCTAACACTGGAGCCAGTGCCTTGGAGGAACTGAAGTTGTAGCTTCTGGGGACCCAGCTCTTCTCTCTGGGCTGTGGTTATCAGTCCTAAAGCAGCTTGTCTGGAGGATCCTGTGTTCTCTTTGCACATTGTCTGACTTAGGTCTCTGCTGACCTTGGCTGCCCCTTCTACCCCTCAAATAGCATATATGATGCTGTACTTCCCAATATACATGCTTGGCCTAAGCAATCAGCTCATAAAAGACTTGCGGCTCTCAGCTGATGCTTTTGTCCTCTTTATTTCTCATCCCCAATCTTCCCATTTAACGCCTCTCCATTCATGAGCCTTATTCCTGCAGCTTCAGGTCAGACAGGAGAGAGGAGGGTGCAGGTTAGGCTATGACAGGAGCAGGCACATGAGGCTTACAGGTGAATTCAGCAACTTTACACCCAACCAGAGCTGGCTACAGACTCTCCAAGCAGGGCGGGAGCCTGAGCCCTGGCTCTCAGAATGAGTTCCCCATGTCTGCCACTGCATGCCATCGTGCAGTCAGGCCAGTACTTATTTTTCCACAGCTCAAAAGGTTTGGTGGACTCTGTTGGTCCCACTACTCACCCTCCTCTTCTACGGGGCTCACTGACATGTGCGTCCCTGGCCAAGGCTCCTCAGCTGGAAACCATCTTCTGCGAAAGTGAAAGAGACTCTGGCTCCTCCAGGAAGCCAGGCATCAGAGTCTGCGCAGATGCTCTTCCTCTGAACACTGGAGTGGAGGTTCAATATTATTCAGCTTATTTCCTGTTGTGAAGTCTGTGCAGATGCCTGGACCGGGGTTGGGGGACGCGGGGTGTGTCAAGCCAGGCCGGCAGAGGTCCCGCCTCCTGAGTCAGGACTCATTTCTGAGCCTTACTGAACTTATCTCTAAAGTGGGGCCTCCCAGGTTTGCCACAGGTCCCAGTTCAGTAGAAGCTCCTGGATCTCCCAGATTTGTGGATCTCAGCTCTCTCCCTCCTCCCTGCAGCCTGCCAAGCCCACAGGCTCTTCATTTCAGGGAGTGGCTCTCAGGCCCCAAACCCTGGGTCATTTCTCACTCCTGGACTCTCCCAAACCTCAAATCTTGTCTGTGATTCCCACTAACAACATTTTTTATCAGTATGTGGTGTGTGCTCATGTTTGTGTGTATGTGGAGTCACATGTGTGTGTGTGTGTGTGTGTGCATGTGGAGACATGTGTGTGATCTGAGAGTTTATGGATTTGTCTAGTCTAGCTCATCATCCAGCTGGGGGTACTTCCTGTTTCCTCCTCCTTAGCCACGCCCAGCAGGCATCTGTGAGGATGCTGGGGATGAGAGCACATGTCCTCATGTTTGCAGAGCAAGTGCTTTATCCTCTGAGTCATTTCCCTAGACCTCACACTGACTTTTAACAGATCTGTAATCTGAGTCTGCTCACTGTGCCCAAGGGACAGCTGGTCCAGCCAGCATCCTGGGTCTCTGCTCCAGGTTCATAACTCTCCCTGCTCTTGCTTCACGGTCTATTCTCAGTTTTGAAGCCTTAATCACATATCTATCATGTAAAACGGTTTAAGTCACCTCTTAGCTCAAACCTTCCTATCCTTCCACCCCACTCTGAGTGAAATACTGGCTCCTCTCAGCCGGTCACGCAGCTCTACATGAGTTACCCCATCCCCCCTGCCCTTTTCTGGCACCAAAGCCACTTTGTGCTTCTCACTCGCTCTGCTGTGGGTTACTGCTCTGCCTCTGTGTTCCTTGGACACGTGAGGAATTTGTGTTGCACTGGCTTCACCACTCTTTGAAATGACTTTCTGCTAGGTAGAATCTTGCTAACCCTTTTCTGAAACACTGCTCTTCCAGATTTACCTTCCTTTATTCCAGCATCTCAAAGTTGATTTGTTTCTGTCACTTCTACCTACAAAGAGAATGGAAACTCTTGGAAGACAGGAGGAAGTGTGTTTGTTGATTGTTATATCCCATGGGTCCAAGTTAGTTCCTGGTATGTGTGTGGTCTGTTTTTGTGGTATATGCATGCGTGTCCACATTTGGTGTGCGTGTGTGTGTGTGTGTGTGTGTGTGTGTGTTATGTGTACACATGCGATTGAGTGCATGTGCTAATCATAGGACAACATTTAGGATTCAGTTCTCTCTACCATGTGTACCATGTGTAACTCTGCAGTGGAATTCAGGACATCAGGATTGATGGCAGATGCCTGTCAAAAGAGAATGTATAGACTCAGGACCCCCCAAAACCAAGTTCTTAGACCAATTTCTCATAAAAAGAAGATTTATTTGCCCCAGAGGGATAGAGGGCATGGATAAGGGGCAAAGACAGGAGACAGATGAAGAGGGAGAAGGGGAAGGGAACAAGGGAAAGGGGCCAGGGTGTTTGTCCCTGAAGACAAAGGACTGTCTCTGGAAAGAGAGGAGACAGATGTGGCACATAGGAACATGACAGTTTATAAAGGTACAGGGGAAATCCCCTGTTAGGATGAGGCAATTAATTTTAATTGGGAATGTTAATTAGGTGATCCAAAGGGGACTTTGATTTCTGGGTTTCAATATTTTCTTAGCTGTGTATTGGTAGTCAGCCTCAAGAGGAAAGATTGGCCAGATAAGGAATGGATACTGGGGGCTAACTTCAGGAATATAATGAAACAGTTTTTAGTAAGGCAGAGGGAATTGGGGAGAAGGGCAAAGCCTGTAAGACCTACATGCTGGAGTGGGCCTGGATAAGGTAACTCAGTAGGAGAAAAAGGATCCCAAGAGAAAGCAAAGGTGTCAGAGACATCCTGGCTCCCACTGTTAGAAGTCCCACAGTAACACCAAGTTAACAACCGTAACGTACACACACAGGACCTAGCTCGGACCCTTATAGGCTCTGTGATTGTTGCTTCAGTATCTGTGAGCTCCCATGAATCCTGATTAGTTGATTATTTGGGCCATGTTCTTGTGTCTGAAACATTTTTTATACAATACATTTTTGTTCAATAGATTGTTTTAAGCTAGAACATATTTGTTTAAGCTAGAACATAAGTTATTCAAGAAATACATTTAAATGATTGGAAACTCTTACTATAGGATAAAGGCACTGCCAGTATAGGTGATTATGGCGGCTTGAAAGAAAATGTCCCCCAAAGGGAGTGGTCCTATTAGGAGGTGTGGCTTTGTTGGACTAGGTATTGCCCCGCTGGATGAAGTGTGTCATGTTTTGGTGGGCTTTGAAGTCTCCTATTTTCAAGCTATGCTGATGAATTCACTTCATGTTGTCCGCAGGTCAAGATGTAGTATTCTCAATTCCTTCTACAGCACCATGTCTGCCTGCATACCATCATGCTCTACCATGATGATAATGGACTGAACCTCTGAACTGCGAGCCATCCTCTGAACTGTTTTCCTTTATAAGTGTTAGCAGGCTTATGGTGTCGTTTCACAGCAATAGAAACCCTAAGATAGTGATTAACTTACCACAAGGCATCATGGTTAGATTTGTAAATCTTAGTCTGTTTTGATAATGTGTGCTCTCAGAAGGCTGAAAATCACAAAAATGCTACATGCCCTTTGTATAACGTCTCTTGGACTTTTTAGACTTACATAAGAAAAGAAACAATAAGTAAAATTAAATTTTTGAGTTTAAATTATCTGATATGGTTTAAGTGACACTTGAGTTTATACTTTTTTCACACTTAGTCTGTATCTGCATCTACTGTGTAGTCTCATTTATGTATGCTCTAATATTTATTGATCAATCTTTGTGTGATTTTTCTTGGGAGTTGTAAATTTAACATCTACTCCTAACTTCTGACATCTCCACATTTCAAAAAATGATTCACTAAGATCATCTTTATGAATATAAATGAATTTATTAGAGATTACTCACTGAAGAATGGAAGACCACAAACATTTGCATGGACCCCTCGCCTGAAGTTGCCCCACCCTCTGTCACCAAGTTCTGACTACTTTTGGCTCTGTCTACCCCAGAATTGATGGAAACGCTTGTCCCCAGCGCCACCTAGTGTAAATGCAGCAGAAGTGACCCCAGGCTCAGACTGCTGGTGTTATGTCTTTATGTATACTGTGTCCTTGCACTTAAAGGGGGATCTTTTGGTTTGGGCAAACACTGTCCATTTTAGGAAGGGTGTCTTGTTTTGCTGCAGTCTGGAATGTCGGGAGCCACCTTTAGGCTTGCTGCAAGATGGAGGTGACGAGTATTAACAGGTCTGGGCTCATTTCCTAGCTGATACACAACCCAGTCCAAGCATGGCTGTCACCCCTTGAAGGAAGAATTGCACACTTAAAGTAAAACATATTTCTGGTATGCCCATGGTGGCTAGCATGACCACATACCTGTGGCAGCTCTTGCCACTAGAGCTTATGGTCAAAGTGTATGGGATTAAGAGCTCACAGTGTGAAGAAGAGTGATAAAGAAATTGTCTGTACACTTGTAAGATTGGATGACCTTGTCAATATGCTGTTGGAAGATATTACAGTTTGAAATTACAGCAGAAGGAAGAAGGATACAAAATTATATCATATTTTACTAACTAGAAATAATAACAGTGCTGCTTCCCAGAGAAGAAGGGCTGAACTGGCAAAAAGTTTCCTTGAGTCATGTTAGATTCTGTTTTTTCAAACCATTAATTGTTGTGCCCAAACTCTGAACCCCAAAATCACCAAGAAATACTATCTGATGCAAAAATAAAGAGTCTTTACTTTATTAACAAGTTAACTGTATTAACTCGGTTCCTCTGTCTGTCAGACACATTGGGTGGAGCAAGAAGGACCCGGTGGGACCATGGGGCAGGGAATATATTGGGATAGAGCAAGGGGGAGTGTCTGGGGTCTGCAACAGCCTCAGAATTGGTGCACTTCTGGATGGGCAACCTGTTCTGTGTTGATTGGTCAACTGAAGTTGCAATCAGGTTGCTATGGCCTATATGCCCTCCCAGGCGGTTGCTATGCTCTGCATTTCACTGTTACATTAAAGAACATCTAGAGCTCAACAGCTAACTTCTGATTGGTTCCTCAACACATGGAGAGCAAGGTCAGGAAAGCTTGGGAGCTCAGCACATGTTGCTGAGTTAGGGTCCTACATCTTACTGGGTCTTTTCTGTAGCCTGTCATAGCTGCCAAAGCAGGGGGCTGGGGGGATCTGGTCCCTTCATAATGTTTAGATTTTATTACTTTGAAAGCATACACCCATTTTCTAGTCTAATCATGATAATTTAGGAATAAGAAAAGTTTATATATATATATATATGTATACACACATACATATATATATGTATATATATATATATATAGACTAAAAAATAAAAATGACTTCGGTTAAAAAAAAGTAAAACACTTAAGGTGTCAAGAACCAAAGATTATTATTTTTAAATTTGTAATGTTTCTCTTGGAAGACACAGTGTTAAATAAAATATTATAACAAGGCAGGAAAACACAGTCAGCCCCCTTCGCCAGACTCAAGCAAAGAAGCAGGTTCCCTCAGCTCTTGTTGTGACTATTGGTGTCAGGTCACATTGAAAAACTCATTTTTATTGACAGCTAAGCATAGCTGGTAACTTGATAGAAAACAGTCTTCATTAAGGGGTATTTGAAGTTAAAAAAAAGAAAAGAAAAGCTGTTCTCCCAGCAGACTGCTACTTGAGCCTATAGTTGATGTGTTTTATTGTGCTCTGTTTCTCCCTCTATCATAAAAAGTTATCTTATAACTTTAACAGCAACAACAAAAATTGAAGTAAAATATTGCAATACATTTTAATTCAGTATTTAGACAGTAATAACTTTTAACCACTATCGTCAGCATATACATTCCTGAGGAACCGAAACTGAAACTCAGTAATTGGAACTTGAGACTCCTGGGCCTCATTTGGCAATGACATCTATTTTATTTCACTCTTTTTAGAACCTATTTTTAACCATCTTAAAGATCAGTTTTCAGAGTTTTACCATTTCATTGTGCTTATCATTAACACAAAAGCTATAGACATAACAATAAACTTTTTTTTCATTATATGAAACACATTTTCACTTTGTTGAGGCTCATGGGAGGCCTGCCCCATTCTGATTGGGGATGGAGGAGAAGTGGATGGGGGTTGTTGAGCAGAGGTAGAGGGAGGGGACAGGAAGAGAGGAGGGAGGTGATACTGTGGTCAGGACATGAAATAAATGAAAAATTTTAATACAATTGTATAAAAATTGGACTTTTTAGTGGAGAAGACTCCATTAAAAGTAGCACCTATGCCGGGCATTGGTGGCGCACACCTTTAATCCCAGCACTCGGGAGGCAGAGGCAGGCAGATCTCTGTGAGTTCGAGGCCAGCCTGGTCTACAGAGCTTGTTCCAGGACAGCCTCCAAAACAATACAGAGAAATCCTGTCTTGAAAAAACAAAAACAAAAACAAAAAACCAAAAAAGTAACACCTATAAGAAAAACAAAGAAATAGACAAAACCCACATTTTCCTCAAACCATTGACTCGGTGTTGGATGAAAGTGAATTTTAAAGTCTCTGTTTCTAAACACGTCTTGTCCCTTGGGACTTATTTAAAGATCTGATCCTTGCTGCAGATTCAGGAGTCTTCTGGTGACACCACACTATGTTTACACTAAAATGATCATAGCTATGCTGGCTACACAGATAACCTTCTTGAGACCCCAGCACAGAAAAGGTATCATAACATTCCCTGTCAATTTGCCCATTTCTGACTGAATCCACAAACCCTTGACCACTGTCCAGAGAACCTCAGTTAGGGATACTGTGTCAGTGTGTATTTGCTCCTGGATACTGAGCCTGTCCTGTTCTGGCTTGTTTCTCAGAGCATCCTAACCACGCCAGTGAGGACGCATGAGTTACCTAGAAACTTATATTTAGCTATTGATATTTGAGTATTTTCTCTTATTTACAAATAACCCCAGTGTGTTATATCTGTCTTACACACACAACCCCAACTATGCTTCTGAAACACCATGATTCAGAGTCCAGGTTATTGTTTGCTGTGATTACAGCATTTTTCCTGTACATACAAGATTTCCTGTTTTCATAGAAACATGATACCCTAAGTATGTAATATAAAGATTTAACCGTCTTCATGTTTTCATGTTCTAGCATGTAAGAATCAACGCTAACCAAACAAGTGAATGACCTGTATCGTAAGAACTTTGAATCTTTAAAGAAAGAAATTAAAGAAGCCCTCAGAAAATGGAAAGATCTCCCATGCTCTTGGATAGGTAGGATCAATGTAGTAAAAATGGCAATCCTGCCAAAAGCAATCTACAAATTCAATGCAATCCCCATTAAAATCCCAGAACAATTCTTCACAGACCTTGAAAGAACAATAATCAATTTTGTATGGAAAATCAAAAGACCCAGGATAGCCAAAACAACCCTGTTCAACAAGGCAACGTCCGGAGGCATCACCATTCCTGACCTCAAGCTCTATTATAGAGCTATATTCCTGAAAACAGCTTGGTATTGGCACAAAAATAGACAGGTAGACCAATGGAATCGAATTGAAAATCCGGGTATTAACCCACACACGTACGAACATCTGATCTTTGACAAAGAAGCTAAAAATATACAGTGGAATAAAGAAAGCATCTTCAACAAATGGTGCTGGCATAATTGGAGACTGGCATGTAGAAGAATGCGGATCGATCCATGTTTATTGCCATGCACAAAACTTAAGTCCAAATGGATCAAAGACCTCAACATAAATCCAGCCACACTGAACCTCTTAGAAGAGAAAGTGGGTGGTACCCTTGCACGAATTGGTACAGGAGACAGCTTCCTGAACATAACACCAGTAGCACAGACAGTGAGATCAACAATTAATAAATGGGACCTACTGAAACTGAGAAGCTTCTGTAAGGCAAAGGACACAGTCAGCAAGACAAAAAGGCAGCCCACAGAATGGGAAAAAATATTCACTAATCCCACATCTGACAGAAGGTTGATCTCCAAAATTTACAAAGAACTCAAGAAGCAAGTCTCCAAAACACCAAAGGACCCTATTAAAAAGTGGGCTGCAGAACTAAATAGAGAGTTTTCAATAGAGGAGTCTAAAATGGCTGAGAGGCACTTGAGAAAGTGCTCAACATCCTTAGCCATCCGGGAAATGCAAATCAAAACAACTCTGAGATACCATCTCACTCCTGTCAGAATGGCTAAAATCAAAAACACCAATGACAATTTATGCTGGAGAGGATGTGGTGAAAGGGGGACACTCCTCCATTGCTGGTGGGAGTGCCAACTGGTTCAGCCACTTTGGAAATCAGTATGGAGATTCCTCAGAAAAATGGAAATAAACCTACCACAAGACCCAGCAACTCCACTCTTAGGCATATATCCAAAAGGTGCCCATTCATACAACAAAGATGTCTGTTCCACTATGTTCATAGCAGCTTTATTTGTAATAGCCAGAACTTGGAAGCAACCTAGATGTCCCTCACCCGAAGAGTGGATAGAGAAAATGTGGTCCATCTACACAATGGAGTACTATTCAGCAGAAAAAAATAATGGAATCATGAGATGTGTAGGCAAATGGATGACACTAGAAGAAACCATCCTGAGTGAGGTAACCCAGTCACAAAAAGAGAAACATGGCATGTACTCTCTCATATATGGATTTTAGACATAGATCTGGGGAGTGCCAGCCTACAATCCTATGGCCAGAGAGTCTGGGAAACAGAAACTTTATTTAGTGGCTGATCGAAGAAGAGGCAGACTCCCTTGGTTAAGTACTGAGCTGAACTCAAGAAAGCCAGTAACAGAGAGGGAGGACTGATGATCAAAGGGATTAAGACTGGGCTGGTTTAACCCCCAGAAACAGCTGACCAGACAAAGGTTAACTCTTGAATCCCAGGCATCAGCCTGGGAATCCAGCATGGGACTGATCAAGACCCCCTGAATCTGGGTGTCAGTGAGGAGGCCTAGGGAATCTATTGAGCCTTGGGCAGCAGATCAGTACCCATCCCAAGTATACACACGGACTTTGGACTCCCATAGAACAATGTGAGGTACACTCTCACCCTGAACTCTTGGGGAAGGGTCTAGGCCCTGCCCTATATGAAATGACAGACTATGGACACCCCCATGGAGGGCCTCACCCTCCCTGGGGAAATGAGGGGATAACGGGGGGGGGGTTGGGGGGAGGACACGGGAGGAGGGGAGGGAATGGGAGAGGGACCTGGAACTGACTTGTGAAGCAACCTCGTTTCTTATCTAAATTTAAACTGGAAAATAAAATTAAAAAAAGAATCAAGTGAGCATATATTTGCATTGTATTATGTGAGAACATTTGATTTTATGAGTTTGTGTTTTGAGTTTCTGACTTGAGTTATATAAAGAGATGTTAAGTGAATTTTGGCTTGAGATTAGGAAAGAATTTCTACCAGATTCTGGAATGTTTACTGCACATTTGTGTAAAGCATGACAGATGCAAAATATCCATCAACTCTGAGAGACACTGAAGATTCCCTATGTCTTATAACATCAAAATAATCAATCAAGATTTAATTTCTTTGGCAAAAGAAACAAAAACATGTATTTCAATAGTTTACAAATTTGTTGTCATTTTTTTAAAAATGGGAAATTATATTACAACAAGAGTTGTTTAAAATAAATTTCTTTAAGATTTATTTATAGTGAAAATGTTTGATTTATATACTTATATATCTACATACCCAGAGTTTTATAAAAATTATTTGGGAAAAACAGTTTGAAGGTAGGAGATGTTTGAGAAGTCCCCTTCCTTTTTATTTTTAAGACATTTACTTTCCAGGGAAAAGTACCCTGTCTTTGTCTCAATTTCCATGGCTCCCAGTCCTGCTTGTATTATATGGGTAAGGTTATCTCAAGAATGTCCACTCTGGCCATGATAGCAGGCTGGACAAGGCCTGAATACACTTGCCGGGTTCAATGGCAGTTTCCTCAGATGCTAATCCCACCTAAACATCTGGCTGGGTAAGGCCAAGCGGGAACATCTGGGTTCCCAAGACGTGTCCAGGAAACAGTGCAATTAGAAAGGGAACTCAGAGCATGGGAGAGCCTTCCATTTTCTGGTTTCTTCTTTAAAGACTCAAAGTTCTTGTGATACAGGTCTTTCACTTGTTTGGTTTGCGTTACCCCAAGGTATTTTATGTTGTTTGTGGCAATTATAAAGGGTGATGTTTCTCTGATTTCTTTCTCAGCCCTTTTATTGTCTGTATATAGCAGAGCTACTGATTTTTTTTACTTGATCTTGTATCCTGCCACTTTGCTGAAGGTATGTATCAGCTGGAGGAGTTCCCTGGTAGACACCCACAGCTAAACACTGAACTGGACTCCTGGAACCCAGTGACAGAGAGGGAGGAATGATGAGCAAAGGGGTCAAGACCGTGATGGTGAAACCCACAGAAACAGTTGGCCTGACAAGGGGGAGCTCATGGACCCCAGACCAATGGCTGAGAGGCCAGCATGGGACTGATCCAGACCCCCTGAATGTGATGTCAGTGAAGAGTCCTCGGCAATCTCTGGAGCCTTGGGTAGTAGATCAATATTTACCATGGCATACGAAGGAACTTTGGGAGCCCATTCCACACGGAGGGATGCTTTCTCAGCCTGGACACATGGGGGAGGGCCTAGGCCCTGCCCTGGATGAAATGACAGACTTTGGAGATCCCCCATGGAGGGCCTCACCCTCCCTGGGGAATGGTGTGGGGATTGGGCAGGGGGCTGGGAAACTGGTGGAGGAGCAAGGGAGGCTGGGTGGGAGAGAGAGCTGGGATTGACATTTGAAGCAAGCTTGTTTCTAATTTAAACTAAAAAATTATATAAAAATGAAAAAAAAAACAACGGAAACTCAGATGGACACTTGATGGGGATGTCCTTCTGTATGCTGTAAATATATGTTTCTTTTATTGATTGATGAATAAAGCTCTTTCATACAACGAACAGGCAGGATTTTGCAGGGGATGAGGTGGGGATCAAAACAGGGATAGAGAAAGGTAGGAGGTAGAATCAAGGAGACACCGTGTAGCTACTGGGAAGGTAGGATGCCTGGGATTTTCCAGTAAGCCAAGACTACATGGAGATACATAGATTAATAGAAATGGGTTAATAATGAAGAAAGTTGGCCAGTAAGAAGCCTGAGTCATTGGCCAAACAGGTTTTTAATTAATATAAGCATTTATGTGTTCATTTGGTACTAAATTGTTGTGAGACCAGGTGGGACAGAAACTTCTGTCATTAGACACTGGTTTATAGATAGGGAAATTGAGGGTCAAAGGAAGGTCAGTCAGAGCCAGGACTCAAGAGAGAGTTCTCACCCCTCAGCCACCAAGATGTCAGGATCCCACCGAGACACCACCTGACTTCTCATAGAGGTCCATGATCAGGTGAGGATGGGTCTCCTTCAGAGCTCGGTAGACTTGGTCTTTGCAGGTCCTGGTCCAGGACTGGCTGAGGCTGAAGAGCTTCCTCATCTTGTCTTGGTTGGTGGCTTCTGCCCGCACTGCCTCATACTCCTCTTCACTCAGCACCCGACTATGCAGCTTGTCCAAGACAGGGTCCACGGATGTCACTCTGGCCACCAGCTGCTCCCGATGCTGGTCCAGGAAGTGTAGTGAGGCAGGAGCATCTAGTGGTGAAGTCGGGACTGGCACTGAGCATAGAAAGACTCCTCCAGGTCTCCCACTGGCTGCCCACTTCTTGTTCTATTCAGGCATCTCATCTGCACCCTTGGCTCCCTTCTTCCTCTGGAAGGTCATAGGAAAAAATATCTGTACCTTCCTGAGGCCAGCTATTAGTCTCTGGCATGGTGCCTAACCAGGAGGAGGTGTTCTTGGTGGGGTGTTCAGGTTGGGAGTGGTGGAGTTATTGACAGAAAGGGGCATGAGAGAAACTCTGCCCTGGGCATGCAACTCTTCTACCAATCCTGGTGAGGCTTGCAAAGTGAGGATCTCTCCTTTCTCACTGCCCTTCTCTTAAGAGTCAGATGATCTACCAGCATAACACTATTGGCTTCTCTGACCTCTTATACCCATTACTGACCTTTGTGGGCTGCAAGGATCATGAGTGGTGCAGATCTGAGGTCCCCTGGAAGAAAAGAGAGGATGCGATGCATCCGTAATGATGCCTGTCACCAACACTCAGTGCATTCTGCAACTCCCCCTGGCCCCCATCCATAAAGACAAGGACTGAGTGACCATGAATTTAAAATCCAAAATTTAAGATTGCAGACACAGCAGGGCCATGATTATAATCTTCCAGTATCTTAATCCTTTTCCACATGGTGGTGTATAGATCTTAATGAGTCTCAACGAAAATAATTAACATGTCGAAGAGGTTGGCCTAATATAAAAAAACAACATTTCTCCCATCAGCTAAGGATCACACTATGAGATATGTATGAACAGTATTAACTGGTCCAACCATCCTATGAGTAATTCATTCTGATCTTCAGTTTACAGGGGAGGAAGGTGAGACTCAAACGAGTTAAATCATTTTCCAAGATAGCCTTCAGAGTAAATGCTGGAGTGAGATTCAATCCCTGCCCTGCTACTGGGGAAGCACTCCACTTGTGTCTCACTCAGGTCAAGGTTGAGCAACGCCTATTCTTTGATCACATGTGTAGGCTGTTTTTGGAAGTTCAGAAGCAGAAACCACCTTGGTTTGATAGATGTCAAGGACTAGGCATCCCAAGAGGTACTGGTTAGGAGAGCTTTGTTTTGGCATTATGGGTACTGGACTAAGACTGTTTTGTTGCTGCACTTGAGAAATGTCAGTATTTGGTTTTCTCTTGTCTACAAATAGCCAACAAACAAAAAAATAAACTCCAACATTTTGAACAGAAAACCTAACCATGGACATGAATACATGAGAAAAATTAAAGCTATCCATCAAAGAATGAAATTGAGGAAGACCTTAGAATATGTGAAGACATCCCTGCCATGGTCATTGGAAGAATTAATATGTGAAAATAATCACATCACTAAAAACATACTCAGTGCAGTCCCAATCAAGATGCTGGGACATTCTTCACAAATACAGTGGAAAAATGCTGAGATACAACTAGTATCACATGAGACATATATGTGCAAGATACTTCTGAATAAGACAATTTTGTGAAAACATTTATTACACCTGATTTCAAACTAATACTACAGACATAGTAGTAAAAACATGGTACTGGCAAAAAACAGATATGCAAACCAATGGGATAGAATAAAAGGCCTAGATAAAAATCCATGTAACCTTTGGCTTTTGACAAAGAACCCAAAATATACTTTGGAGAACAGATAGCCTGTTCAACAAATGATATTGAAAACCTGCATGGAAACACATGGGAGAATTAAACTAGATGCCTATATCAATCCTTTAAAAAGCCAACTTCAAATGACCAAACATTTCAATACCCTGAACCTGGTAGAGTAAAAGTAGGGAGAGCATTTCAACACAGCAGCACAAGTCAGGATTGTGTGAATAAGAATACGGTAGCACAGAAAGTAAATAAAATAGATGAATGAGGTCTCCGGACATTAAAAAAAGTTCTTTATAGCAAAGAAGACTCAACTGAATGAAAGTGCAGCCAAGAGCGGAAGAAATTATTTCCCAGTCAACATATGACAAAACCAAAAGATCCAAATATCAATAAAATAACTGAATTCTAAGATTGGCCATAGTAGTAACAGAATTCTCAAAGGAAGAATTACACATGGCTAGCAAACACTTAGCTATTAGGGAAACACAAGTTTAAATCACTTATGATTCTATCTCATTTGTGGTGATTTGAAAGAAAGTGGCCCCCAAAGGGAATGACACTATTAGGAGGTGTGACTTTGTTGGAAGAAGTGTGTCTTTGTGTGGACAAACTTTGAGATCTCTTTTGTTCAAGCTTCCCTCAGAGCGACTGTCAGTTGACGTCCTGTCGCCTGCAAGATGTAGCACTCTCAGCTCAGCACCACATCTGCCTGCACACTGTCATGCTCTCTATCATGATGATAATGAACTGAACCTCTGAAACTTTTATTGATTAGTTGTTTTCCTTATAAGTGTTGTGGTGGTCATGGTGTCTCTTCACAGCAATAGTAAGCCTAAGACAGAAGTTGATACCAGGGACTGCAGTATTGCTGTGACAGGACTTACTATGTTTTTGTTTGAAGTAATATGGTCTTTGGGAATACAATTAGAAGAGCAGATAAGTGCTGCTTAATGGGCCATACTAGTAGGAGCATAGAAGAGAGTGGTATGATTTGATGAATTGTTTGGGGGCTGATTCAAGAAGCCTCAGAGACAAACTTTAGAATGTCGTCTAGAAATTGTTCTTCTATATTTTAGCAAATGATGTGGCTGCTTTTTGTCCCTATCCCAAGAGTCTGACGGAAGCTAAATATCAGATATCAAATATCAGAATTGATTCTGTTGGCAGAAGAAATCTCAAAATGGCCTAGTATAGATTCTGTTGTGGTATATTAGTGGTGACTCTAATGAAGATATATAATGAAAAGGAGCAAGCTGAACAAGGAAAAATATTTGAGAAAAACAGTGTCAGGAAGTGCAATGGAGCTATATCCTCCATTTAAAGAGATAGATGCATTTAAAAAATGGAATAACGAGAGTGGTGACCTGAGGGTAAGATTCCACACTATTAAGTTTCCATCTTGTGAAAAGGAACTGAGGAAAACGTTAGAGCTGGATGTGGTGGGACACACCTTTAATCCCAGCACTGTGAAGGGAGAGACTGGTTAGTTTCTGAGTTTGAGGCCAACCCTGTTCTACAAAGCAAATTTCAGGACAGCCATACTTAGTAAGTGAAAGACAGAAATAATGGGGGTTGTCTTTTTGTGTATATGTTTCTCTTATTGGCTGATGAATAAAACACTGATTGATTGATTGATTGATTGGCCAGGCAGGAAGTATAGACAGGACTAGGAGATGAGGAAAATTCTGGGAAACATAGGCAAACAGAGTCATCATGTAGAGCCCGGGAAGAGAGGACACACAACACATACTCTGATAAGCCAAGACCATGTGGAAATACAAAGATTAATAGAAATGGGTTAATAATTAGTATAGAACTACTAAGCATTAAGAAGTCCAAGCCATTGGCCAACAGTTTTATAATTAATATAAGTCTTGTGTGCTTATTTGGGGCTCTCAAAGGCAGCGAGACCCTGCCAGGATAAAGAACCTTTCATTACACAGAAAACTGGTGGAAATATAATTGAATGAGTGGGCCATGTTCCATCCCCAGTAAGCAGAAGAATTTGGCAACTTTGGCCATGTGTTTCTGGCTTTAGAGCTAAGGATGAAGAAACTGGACAATAGTTATACTAGAGAATTAACAGCACGGCTGAAAGCTCTAGAATACAAAGAAGCAAACTCCCCCAGGAGGAGTAGACGCCAGGAAATAATCAAATTGAGGGCTGAAATCAATAAAGTAGAAACCAGGAAAACAATACAAAGAATCAATGCAATGAAGAGTTGGTTCTTTGAGAAAATCAACAAGATAGACAAACCTTTGTCCAAACTTACCAAACAGCAGAGAGTGAACACGCAAATTAACAAAATCAGAAATGAAAAGGGGGACATAACAACGGACTCTGAGGAAATCCAGAGAATCATCAGGTCATACTTTGAAAACCTGTACTCCTCAAAATTCGAAAATTTAAAGGAAATGGATGACTTCCTGGACAGCTATCATTTGCCAAAAATAAATCAAGAACAGATAAGCAACTTAAATAGACCTATAACCCCTATGGAAATAGAAGCTGTCATCAAAAGTCTCCCAACCAAAAAAAGTCCAGGTCCAGATGGCCTCAGTGCAGAATTCTACCAGAAATTCAAAGAACAGCTTATACCAATTCTTCTCAAAGTGTTCCACACAATAGAAGCAGAAGGGTCTTTGCCAAACTCATTCTATGAGGCTTCAATAACCTTGATCCCCAAGCCACACAAAGATAGAACTAAGAAAGAGAACTTCAGACCAATATCCCTCATGAACTTCGATGCAAAAATACTCAATAAAATACTGGCAAATCAGATCCAAGAACACATTAAAACGATCATTCACCACGATCAAGTAGGTTTCATCCCAGGGATGCAGGGATGGTTCAACATACGAAAATCCATCAATGTAATCCACCATACAAACAAGCTGAAAAGCAAAAATCACATGATCATCTCACTAGATGCTGAAAAAGCCTTTGCAAAACCCAACACCCCTTCATGATAAAGGTCTTGGAGATATCTGGGATAACAGGAACATACTTAAACATAATAAAAGCTTTATACAAACAGCCAACATCAAACTAAATGGACAGAAACTCAACTCAATTCCTCTAAAATCAGGAACAAGTAAAGGCTGTCTACTCTTTCCATACCTTTTCAAAATTGTACTTGAAGTTCTAGCCAGAGCCATACGACAACAAAAGAGGATCAAGGGGATACAAATTGGGAACGAAGAGGTCAAACTTTCACTATTTGCCGATGATATGATAGTTTACATAAATGACCCAAAGAACTCTACCAGGGAACTCTTACAGCTGATTAACACCTTCAGCAAAGTGGCAGGCTACAAGATCAACTCAAGAAAATCAGTAGCCCTACTATATACAGATGATAAAAGGGCTGAGAAAGAAATCAGAGAAACATCACCCTTTACAATTGCCACAAACAACATGAAATACCTTGGGGTAACACTAACCAAACAAGTGAAAGACCTATACCGCAAGAACTTTGAGTCTTTAAAGAAATAAATTAAAGAAGCCCTCAGAAAATGGAAAGATCTCCCATGCTCTTGGATAGGTAGGATCAATGTAGTAAAAATGGCAATCCTGCCAAAAGCAATCTACATATTCAATGCAATCCCCATTAAAATCCCAGAACAATTCTTTACAGACCTTGAAAGAACAATAATCAATTTTTATGGAAAAACAAAAGACCCATGATAGCCAAAACAACCCTGTTCAACAAGGCAACGTCCGGAGGCATCACCATCCCTGACCTCAAGCTCTATTATAGAGCTATAATCCTGAAAACACCTTGGTATTGGCACAAAAATAGATAGGTAGACCCATGGAATCGAATTGAAAACCCTGATATTAACCCACACACGTATGGACATCTGATATTTGACAAAGAAGCTAAAAATATACAATGGAATAAAGAAAGCATCTTCAACAAATGGTGCTGGCATAACTGGAGGCTGGCATGTAGAAGAATGTGGACCGATCCATGTTTATCACCGTGCACAAAACTTAAGTCCAAATGGATCAAAGACCTCAACATAAATCCAGCCACACTGAACCTCTTAGAAGAGAAAATGGGTGGTACCCTTGAACGAATTTGTACAGGAGACAGCTTCCTGAACATAGCACCAGTAGCACAGACAGTGAGATCAACAATTAATAAATGGGACCTCCTGAAACTGAGAAGCTTCTTTAAGGCAAAGGACACAGTCAGCAAGACAAAAAGGCAGCCCACAGAATGGGAAAAAGTATTCACTAATCCCACATCTGACAGAAGGTTGATCTCCAAAATTTACAAAGAACTCAAGAAGCAAGTCTCCAAAACACCAAAGGATCCAATTAAGAAGTGGGCTGCAGAACTAAATAGAGAATTCACAAAAGAGGAGTCTAAAATGGCGGAGAGGCACTTGAGAAAGTGCTCAACATCCTTTACCATCCGGGAAATGCAAATCAAAACAACTCTGAGATACCATCTCACTCCTGTCAGAATGGCTAAAATCAAAAACACCAATGACAATTTATGCTGGAGAGGATATGGTAAAAGGGGAACACTCCTCCATTGCTGGTGGGAGTGCCAACTTGTTCAGCCACTTTGGAAATCAGTATGGAGATTCCTCAGAAAAATGGGAATAAACCTACCACAAGACCCAGCAACTCCACTCTTAAGGCATATATCCAAAAGATGCCCATTCATACAACAAAGATGTCTGTTCCACTATGTTCATAGCAGCTTTATTTGTAATAGCCAGAACTTGGAAGCAACTTAGATGCCCCTCAACCGAAGAGTGGATAGAGAAAATGTGGTACATTTACACAATGGAGTACTATTCAGCAGAAAAAAAAACAATGGAATCCTGAGATTTGCAGGCAAATGGATGACATTTGAAGGAACCATCTTGAGTGAGGTAACACAGTCACAAAAAGAGAAACATGGCATGTACTCTCTCATATATGGATTTTAGACATAGATCTGGGGAGTGCCAGCTTACAATCTCATGGCCAGAGAGTCTGGGAAACAGAACCTTAATTCAGTGGCTGATGGAAGAAGAGGCAGACTCCCATGGCTAAGCACTGAGCTGAACTCAAGAAAGCCAGTAACAGAGAGGGAGGACTGATGACCAAAGGGATTAAGACTGGGCTGGTTTAACCCCCAGAAACAGCTGACCTGACAAGGGTTAACTCTTGAATCCAAGGCTGATGCCTGGGAATCCAGCATGGGACTGATCAAGACCCCCTGAATGGGGGTGTCAGTGAGGAGGCCTATGTAATCTATTGAGCCTTGGGCAGTAGATCAGTATTTATCCCAAGTATACAAATTGACTTTGGACTACCAGCCAACAATGTGAGATGCACTCTCACCCTGAACTCTTGGGGGAGGGTCTAGACCCTGCCCAGGATGAAATGACAGACTATTTCACCCTCCCTGGGGAAATGAGGGGACATTGGGGGGTGGGGGGAGGACACAGGAGGAGGGGAGGGAATCAGACACGGACCTGGAACTGACTTGTGAAGCAACCTTGTTTCTAATTTAAAGTTAAATTTAAACATAAATAATAAAAAAGAAAAAACAAACAAACAAAACAAAACAAACAAAAGAAATGATCAATGGACAATCATAGCAATTATGGACACCAAAAGTAAAAAAAAAAGAAATGAATTACAGAATCAAGCCATTGAGGCCAGACATATGTTAGAGGTGTCCCTGAATGGAGGCTGAGTAGGGAGGCCATTGCATGAAGCTATGAAGTTGAAGCCTGCATTGCCTTGGAGAACTCAAAATGTTAGAGATGCCAGGGTGGAGGTGACGAGTATGTCTCTATAAGTAGATATTTATATCAGCAACGGGAAGCTCTAGGAACATTGTGGAAGAGGAAGTGTAAAGAATGTAGCAACAGAAGACATGGAGAAGGGTTGTGAAGTGTTATCTTCTAAGTGTGACATGACCACGGCCATCATGAACTTGTAGTAACTTCACCTACTGTCTCTGGACCCACACAAGCAGAGCCTGCCCATCAGTCAGCTAGACAGGGGGAAGCAGCTCACAGGGACAGTGACACTTCCTGCTAAACCACTGGCAAATATTATGCTATGGAGACAAGGGAGGAATACATCCTATCTGTATGCCTGCTGGTGAGCTCTCTAGGTTTTACTGGATAGTGAAAACCCAGGGACACACAGATGGCTCCAGGTAAACTATGTGAGACATAAAGCAAAACTTATAAATGTGGGAAAGAGATTTGCACAAGAGAAGAGGGAATGGCCAGAGTAGGAGGGAGATAAGAAGTTATGTTTAGGGTGGAGTTCCTAGAATGCATTGTATGCATGTATTAAATTGTGAAAACAAATTTATTTAAAAGTTATGTATGGATTTGAGATCGAGTATCTCATGGTGGCAAAATGCTTTTATTTTACAGCTGAGTTATTATGTGAACTGGAGCCAGATGCTTTGTGCATCTCAAGATCTGTCACTTCAAGGGCAGTGGAAGAGGAAATCAGGACACAGAACTGAGAAAATGGGGTTCATAGTATGTGATGATTTGGATATTATGTATCCCATGACGATGGTCATGTGTTGATTGATTAGTCCTGCATATGTATTAAAAGGTGACTGTTCCTGTGGGCTGTGAATTTATGAGTGAAACCATACACTAATGCACTGATAATTGTGTGAGTGCTGAGAACAGAAACTGTATGAGAGTACACTGGAAGAAGTAGGTCATTGGAGGCATGTCCTGAAGAGAAAATTTTGCATGAACTTTCCTCTCCTCTCCTCTTCTCTTCCCTCCCCTCCTTTTCTCTTCCCTCCTCTCCTCTTCCCTCCCCTCCCCTCCTCCCTCCCCTCCCCTCCTCCCCTCTCCTCTCCTCTCCTCTTCTCTCCTTTCCTCTCCCCTTCTCTCCTCTCCTGTCTTCCTTTTCCCTCCCCTCCATTTCTCTCTCCTCCTCTTCTCTCCCCTCCCCTCCTCTCCCCTCCCCTCCTCTCCTCTCCTCCCCTCCCCTCTCCTCCCTTCCCCTCTCCTCTCCTCTCCTGTCTTCCTTTTCCCTCCCCTCCTTTTCTCTTCCCTCCCCTCCTTTCCCCACCCCTCCTCTCCCCACCCCTCCCCTCCTCTCCTCTCCACTCCTCTCCCCTCCTCTCCTCTCCTGCCTTCCTTTTCCCTCCCCTCGTTTTCTCTTCCCTCACATCTCACTCTAACTCCTGCTCCCACCTCTCTGCTTCAGAGCTACCAGATGAACAGTCTCTCCTTTCACAAGCTCCCAGTCCATGGTATTGTTTCTCATCAGGATCAAAGAGATAGAGGCAGCTGACAATGGACTGAAACTTAGTTCTAAGACCATGAATCAAAACAAACCTTTCTATTTTTAAGTTGTTTTTCTCATGTTTATTCACAACTGGGAATAGCTGACTAATTCAACATATGAATCTAGCAAAATCCACACATCTGGCTATTTCAGGACACCAAGAATGAATGACAATACACTTTCCCCTACTCGTTGACTTCCTTCTGGCTTTTGGGTATCTGAACCTAATCTAATTTTACCTGGTTTCAGCAAGGCTTCCCATATGAGATTTGTGTGCTTCTTGTCTCTGATTTGCAGCTTGATTCCTGAACCCATGTGGCCAAGGTGTATCTCAGAGAAGAGCTGGGATTCCCCAGGGCTCCTATAGCACAGCTCCAGTTCCTGTAGAGAGACAGAGCTGCAATGTGAGAAGCCATTACTCATTCTAAGAAAGAGGCTTGTCCCCACCCCCATACTTTCATGATCTTGCACACCACATCAAACACTGGATATCTTTTGCACTGAGGTAACCCACAGCCTTTGAAAGCGTATCTTCACTCAGAAGGTTAAAGACCCAGCTAGAAGCCCATCATACTGTTTCTTTTATCATCACTCTGACAAAAACCTGATGGGAAGCAACTAAGGAAGGGTTTATGTTGTTTAGTTTGTGGTGGGAAATGCATGGAAGCTGGAGTTCCATTATTAGTGGCAGGAGATTGTGGCACAGCTTGTTACAACCCAGAGGATTGGGAATTCGATTTTGAGGTGGGGAACAGGGCATGACTTTAACACTCAATGCCCACCACTAGTGGCCTGCTTTTGATGGTCACATCTCACATATTTGTTTCCTCAACTCCTCCAATACTAGCTCTAACTGGGGATCAGGTGTTTTAAAATGTACACCTGTAGGAGACATTTCAGATTCAAACCGTAACAAGTGAGAGCTCATCCTGAACATCTTGCTCATACGTCTTAAGCCAGGGCTTGCTGTCCATATTAGGCTGGCACTTTCTCTGCCATATTGTATCCTATTCCTCAATTCCCCCAGGCCATCTATATTCCTGTATGTCCCTTAAATTGTTTTCCACCTAACTAGGATGTATTCTTACTCATCCCAAATCCCAGTAGTTTTCTCCCCAATCTCAGTTTGCTGCAAAGCCCTGTACTTGCCGCACAGGCTTCCCAAGCCTGGCATCTGACCCCGAACAATAGCAAACACCTGTATGCTCACCTTTGGAATGATTTCCAGCTTCTTGGATGCAGACACCGTGTAGCGGGAACCGATGTAAAGAGAGTCTACTGGGGGTGGCTTGTTTATTCGAATAAACTGAAACTTCATTTCTTCATCATCAATGGCCTAGGGAACATTTACAGTGACTTAGCTAGATTTCTGATCTACAACATCTCTCTGATCTGAATAAGGTGAGGTGGTTGATCACTGCATGTGTGTGGGGTGGGGTGGAGGTGATATCTCCTGGGCACCCTTCTGCCTTGTGTTCTGCCACACAGACTATTGAATTATTGGTCCCTGTCATGTTCATTGTGGGAACATTGTCCCTGCCGTAGAGGAAAGGATTTGGCTACATGTTTGATGTGGAGATTTCCCATCCTTCCGATAGGTGGAAAAAAGGGTCATAGAAGGCTGTGTACAGATAAAGGGGCAGTAAAGGCAGTTGGGGGAGACTCTGGTGTAAGGGGGGCAGGAAGAAAGCAGAAGTACAAACACCAGTGTTCTCTTTATAGAACTGCTTACCACTCCATGTGGGGAATGTCTCTAAGGGGCTCCCTAGCTGCATCTCAGGTTTCCTGTCTGCCCACCCTGGCCCCACTTTTGTGGTCCTCAGTGTCACCTTCCGGATGGTGCAGTCGTTGGGGATCAGGTACAGATGAAGGGTGACCTCCTTGAGATTGAGGTGATAGTAGATCAGTGTGATGGTAGTGATGGGGATGAGGTGCCTGACAGCAGGAATCATTCTCACTAGAACTCCCATTGGGGAGAAGCTTGGGTTTTCCAAGATTGTGTAGTGCTGCTCCACCCTAGTTGGCATTTCTAGGATCATTCCATGTTCTTGAAAGTGAGCCACATGGAACCAGGAGATGTCCACCTGTCCCTCTGTGAAAGAACAGATTCAAAGATGTAGATTTAGTGTTCCCATTGAACCATGGTTTGCTGGAAAAATAGCACTTAGGATTTAGAATGACTATAGTGGTTTGAATGTGAATGACCAGTATAGTTGATGGAACTGTTTGGGAAGAGGTAGGAGGTGTGGCATTGTTGGAGGATGTGTGTCACTGGGGTGGTTTCAAAAGCTTTTGCTGTTTCCAATGTCCTATCTTTTTCCTCTGTGACAATAAGTAAGTTCTCAGCTACTGCTCCATTGCTATGCCTGCTCATTTTCTGTCGTGATCCCTGCCATGATGGTCATGGACTCACCCTCTGATACTATGAGTCCCAATAAAAAAGTTTCTTTGGCCAGTCAGTGGTGGCACATGCCTTTAATACCAGCACTTGGGAGGCAGAGGCAGGCAGATCTCTGTGAGTTCAAGGCCAGCCTGTCTACAAAGGGAGTTTCAAGACTGGCTACATAGCTACTGTGAAACCCTGTCTTGAAAATCAAAAAAAGTTACTTTGATCATGATTTCTATTTAGTTTGTATTCATTTTTGATGTGTATGAGAAAAACTATGACCAAACTTAAGTTTTATTAATTAACCTCCAGTGACAACACAGCAGAACTATCAACAGTTTCCTCATTATCATTTCAACATGCCAGGGAGGGGAGATTCTGCCATGGTGACTCATGAAGACTACCCCTCATTGGAGGCAGTTTACCTTTGACCCTCTCTAGCTGCTAGGGAAGCATTCACAGTGGAGTGGAGGTCCTTGATGGTGTTATCCATGGTGCTATAAAGAACACAGCCTCAGCGTCCACTGTCAGAAACTGAACAATCAGCACGTTCTCTGAGGTGCTGCCATCATCACCAGCTTCAGTGTCTTGGGATTGGCAGTGTCCTCTATATTCTTAGTTGCAGGATGGAGTTTGCTGTTATGAAAGAAACCCAAGGGTACCTTTGTCTACTGCAGACAACACTGGGTGTATCACTGGAATAGTGAATTTTAAATGTGAACTTTATGAAATCTAGAATCAGCTTGGATATAGACCTCAGGGCATGATAGGAGGACCATTTTGTCATGGCTATGTCTATTCTGTACCATTGTATGTTGTGAGTATATAACTTTAAAAAATTTTTATAGGAGCTCATAGTTAAGAGATTGACTAGAGTTTGTTTTGAGAGGCAGACTTTGTGGACTTTTAAACTGCTGAAATTATTAAGGACTATAGGGGACTTTTGAAATTGAATTGTAATTTGAATTGTGAGACAAAACTGAAACTTTGGAGATGTGAGAAAGAAAGTTACTAATTAAAGTGATGTGCTTGGGTGTAAGTTGACAATCATGATGATGAATCTCACTTGCCAACTTGATCCCTGCTCATTGATGCACCACTCTGCAATCCATCCTTTGTCCTTTTAGCACTGAGTTTGCTTCCAGCATGAACTATGACAGACAGTGTTTCAGTGTATGTCTTTTTTCAGAGAGCATTTCTATTTCTCTTGGGTGACTGCTTTGGAATCAATAATCACCAGGAAGGGAGACCATGAAATTGTTCCTGCATGAAGTGGTACAGTTTAGGATTGTCATCAACAATATGCTAACTAATAGTTTCATCTGGAACCACATAGCACTAAAATGCCATCTGTGTGACAGTTCAGGGCCTAGAGACCTTGACTTTCTCTAAGTCAGTATCATCCCCAACACCAGATCCTCAAGTTGCCCATGCTACATGTTGTGCTAATTTTCACAGAATCCCATAAGATGCTGTACAACTCCAACTTCCCTTCTTGTTAGGGTAAACATTAATCATGATGTGGGGCAATTTCATTGTTAAGATAAGAAATTTAGTCCTATCATTCAGACAGCAGGTAAGAGTCCTCCTGGCAGGTTGCTCTACCACATCTGCCACTCATTGGATCCTGTAATCTGCAAGACCCACTCTGCCAAACCTACTGAAGCCATCATCCTCTCCCTAGCCTACCATTCTCCATAAGATTGGCAGCTTCTAGAGGTACATACACCACCTGCACCAATTGGAAGAAGAGCAACCTCCCCTTCAAGAGCCCTCTCCGGCAACTTCAGCAGATCCTATAGGCAGAAACGCCACTGTAGTGATAGATTCGCCTCTGCATTTGTAGCACTGACCATGCCTTTTGGGCGTGGTCACAGGTGCGGACATGACCGGTTAAAATGATAAGGATCAGGGTCGGAAGATCCCTTCGGGTCTCGGAGAGCTTCAGGGTGTCAGGGTCTGTATCCTTGGAATGGGATTGCCATGACAGTCCCTTGTTTCTTGTGTAAGTTCTTTTCCCCCAATAAACTCCATTTCATTTTCATGCCTTCATGCCACTCACACCAGTTGGAAGAACAGATACAAGCAAAACCCACACCAGTTGGAAGAACAGACTCCATAGGCAGAGGCACAACCCACACCAGTCGGAAGAACAAACTCCATAGACACAAGTAATGCCCACATCAGGCAGAAGAACCAGACAATAGACTGGACCTAGAGATCCAAACCACAACAAACCTCAGCTGAGACAACCCAACTTGACCTAACAGCCAGACAATCATCTGAACCCTTGGCTACTCAGATCAAAGACAATAAAGGGAACAGATCATAAGGGAACATAAGACTCATTCAACAAAGCTTTCACAAGAATCAACACCTGTACTTATAATTATTCCAAACCCAGATGGGTAGACAGCAGTGTAAGAAAACATTCTGGCTGCGTGGTGGTGGTGCACGCCTTTAATCCCAGCATTCAGGAGGCAGAGGCAGGTGGATCTCTGTGAGTTCGAGACCAGCCTGGTCTACAAGAGCTAGTTCCAGGACAGCCTCCAAAACCACAGAGAAACCCTGTCTTGAAAAATAAAAAAATAAAGAAATAAAAAGAAAATATTCAACATCAAGAGCAGTATGATATCACCAGAACCTAGTGGTTCTAAAACAGCAAGACCTGAACATCCCAATGCAGATGAAGCAGAAGAAAATGACTTTAAAAATAGCTTTATGAAGATGATAGAGGCACTTAAAGAGGAAATGAGAACTTCTCTTAAAAATAGAGGAAAAGACAAACAAGAAATCAATAAATCCCTTAAAGTGAGCCACGAAAACCAAGGGAAAAAACTATCAAATAAGTGACAGCAACAGATGAAGACTTGAAAATTGAAATTGAGGCAATAAAGAAAATATAAACTGAAGGAATTCTGGAAATGGAAAAATCTGGATAAATGAACAGGAACTACAGATGCAACATTTTTCATTTGAGAAGCATCTGGATTGTTTTCAGGTTCTAGTTATTATGAATAATGCATGAACATAGTTGAGTAAGTGTCTTTGTGGTATGACTGAGCATCCTTTGGATATATGCCCAAAATTGGTATATCTGGATCTTGAGGTAGATTGATTCCAAATTTTTTAAGAAACCACCATACTGATTTCCAAAGTGGCTGTACAAGTTTGCACTCTCATCATCAGTAGAAAGGTGTTCCTCTTTCTCCACATCCTCTCCAGCATAAGCTGTCATCAGTGATTTTAACCTTAGCCACTCTGATCAGTGTAAAATGGTATCTCAGAGTCATTTTGATTTGTATTTCCCTAATGACTAAGGATATCGAACAATTCTTTAAGTGTCTTTCAGCCATTTGAGATTTTTCTATTGGGGATTCTCTGTTGAGATATGTACCCGATTTTTAGTTGAATTGCATGGCATTTTGATGCTTACATTCTTGAGTTCTTTATATATTTTAGAGATCAGTCCTCTGTCAGATGTGGGGCTGGTGAGGATTTCTCCCCCTCCCCACTGTAGGCTGCCATTTTGTCTTATTGACACTGTCCTTTGTCTTACAGAAGCTTTTCAGTTTCAGGAGGTCCCTCCCCTTTATTGTCAATCTTAGTGTCTGTGCCAATGTTATTATGTTCAGGAAATAATCTCCTGTGCCGATGTATTCAAGGCTACTTATCACCTTCTCTTCTATCAGGTTCAGTGGAGCTGGATTTATGTTAAAGGGTTTGATTCACCTGGGCATGAGTTTAGTGCAGGGTGATAGATATGGATCTATTTGCATTCATCTATATGTCAAAATCCAGTTATGCCAGTACCATTTGTTGAAGATGCTTTCTTTTTTCCATTGTATAATTTTAGTTTCTTTGTCAAAAATCTAGTGTTCATAGGTGTGTGCGTTTATGTCGGGATCTTTGATTCAATTCCATTGATCCATGTATCTGTTTTTATGCCAATACTGAGCCAATACTATAGCTCTATAGTAGAGCTTGAAGTCAGGGACGGTGATGCCTCCAGAAATTCCTTTATTGTACAGGATTGTTTTGTATTCTTTTGTGTTTGGTTGGGATGTTCTATAGATGTCCATTGCTATTAAGGGATATCAATGACCAGTGATTGTTGATTCCTGTTATTTTTTGGTGGTGGTAGTGGTGTGTGTGTTTCCCATCTTTAAGATTTGCTGGTGTGGGATTATCTATTGCCTGTGCTTTCCTGGGTATCTATAATCTCCTTGGGTTAGAGTTTTCCTTCTAGTGCTTTCTGTAGGGCTGGATTTGTGGAGAAGTATTGTTCAAATCTGGTTTTGTTATGGAATATCTTGTTTTCTCCATCCATGTGATTGAAAGTTTTCTGGGTATAGTAGCCTGGGTTTTCAATCATGGTCTCTTAGATTCTGCATAATGTTTGTCCAGGAACTTCTAGCTTTGAGATTCTCCACTGATAATTTGGGTGTCTTAGATAGGGTCATTCTTGTGGGTCCCTGAGGTTTTCCATGGCACCAGGTTTTCCCCTAACCCTGAAATTCCCCCCATCAAGACTACTCTTCCCATCCATTATTCCTCTAATACAACTCCCACACCTAGCCCACACAATCTGCTCCCTCTAGTTTCCATCCCTCCATTGCTCCAATCCCTGTTGCCGGTTTACCCAGGAGATCTTTTCTGTTTCCCCTTTCTAGGGAAATCTATGCATCCATCTTTGGGCTGTCCTTTCTATCTAGACTCTCTGGGGCTGTGAATTGAAGGTTGGTTATTCTATATTTTATTCTTAATAACCACCCATGAGTGAGTACATACCATGCTTGTCTTTCTGTATCTGGGTTACCTTAATCAGAATGAATTTTTGTAGTTTCATCCATTTGCCTGCTAATTTCATGACGTCATCATTTTTTTTACAGCTGAGTAGTACTCCATTGTGTATATGAGCCACACTTTTTTTAGTCATTCTCTGGTTTGTGCTTGTTTTATTGCATCTTATTATGCTGTGTTTGGTTGATATCACTGTGAAGCCTGTTCTTTCTGAAGGGAAACAGAGGAGCAGTGGATCTGGGGTAGAGGGTGAATGGCAGGTGGGAGAACTGTGAGGAGCAGAGAGAGTGGAGGTTGTAGTTGGGATGTATTGTATGAGAGTAGAAGAAATAAAAAGCAACAATCTTCTGAAGGAATCTTTGGAGATCATTGAGGTTCGGACACTTTATGAGGCCCCCCATCTTTTCCAAGGAAGCCTTTCTTGTTTTGCTCAGTTCTCAAATGGAATATGGTGATGTCGTTTTCTCCCTGCCTGTAACAGTGTAATGGCTCACAATGTTGGTAGACCCTGGGTACCAAATGATCATTATTAGTTTCCTTAGACTTATCCACTTTGCAACAATCTCTTCAAATTTCTCAGTTATTCTCAGTTCCCTGCTGGATCCCCGAGGGACATGGTGTGTAAAGAACACTTAATAATCGCAAGCTAATATTGCTACTGAGGATATCACTTTCCACTTAGGGACTACTTTAGGTAAAACAGAAATAAAGTCATAAGGCTGGGTGACATGTGCTTCAAAGAAGATACATTAGACAAGAAGGGAGAACAAAACATCTCAGTGTTCACCTTCATGACCTTCTCTGCCTCGTTAAAGAAGCCATGAGACCTTTCCTCATCACCATCATCCTACAGTCTGCTTTGTGACATGTCAAGTCCTCCCATTAGCACCACCCTGCTTCTTATGCTTCCCTTGGTTACCTTGGACAGCCACAAAGTGAGGGAGATGTACAGCAGCCACAGCTCCCTGCTCAGCCTTGATGTCAAACAGTGGCCCAGCCACCATGTGCCTGTGCTGCAAGGGAGTTTCATTCAGGTATTGGCTCCAGGCACAGAATCCAATATCGATGGTCACTGCCCTTGTCACCACAAAGCAGAGTCCCATGTTGGGACAGTGATAGAAACCAGGCACAGGAAACTGAACTCTAGAAAAGGGAGAGGCAGACACCAGTGAATACCAGCTCTGCTCATCTGCTGAATGCAGACCCAGTGCAGGGCTGGGGACACAGACTTTAGCCAGGTGGCTGAGATATGACTTCTCTTTTAGCTGCATGTGGATGCTTGACTAAGTCATTTAGCCCCCAAATCTGTTTCTTCATCTGTGCATAGGGATAATGACAACACTGTCTTATACACCTGTGAGTACTGAATGATTCAATGCAAACCTACAGCAAATACACACCTGAAGCAGGTAGCTATTCCTATGATGATAAAATAGGTGTGTGTGTGTGTGTGTGTGTGTGTGTGTGTGTGTGTGTGTGTGTGTGTGAATTTCTGGGGATCAAGTTAGGAGCTTGCACACTTGACAAAGGCTCTACCATTGAGGTACATCTTATGTTTTTAGACTTTTTGTTCCTGAAGTATAACCCAAATATAATGAGGGGACTGATGCTGTTTACATCACAAACAAAGTAATCTGTGGAAAACCATAATTGAGATAATAAAATGAAGGACTCGTATCAGCTCTGTTGACTTGGTAATGGTGATCTGGTCATGGAAGATGAGGTCCTGTCTTAACTACACAGAGGAGCATAGTGAAATGTTTGTGGGTGAAATCCTCTGATGTCCTGCACTCACAATACTGTAACAGTGATGACAAGGGAGGAATTTGAGTAGCTGAAACAGACTTGGAAGAAATGGTTGCTGGAGATGAATAATTGGATGGGGAAATTCTTGCGCTCTCCAGTTTTTTAGATGTCTGAAACATTTTATGAAAAAGACCTCTAGTTTTATAACAATCCAAAATTCTTGTCTTCTGCATTGGTGAGGCAAGGAGGAGACACGGTAGAAACTAGGAGAAAAGTGTGGTTAGTGTGCTGGGGAAAGTCACCTTTTCCATGCAGAGCTCACTCACCTGTAAAGGTTTCTCTCTCTGTCAACCACCTCAGTAGCGACGGGCCCTGTAGGGCCCCAGAAGTCATCTTCAGTATACATTGGTTCTGTATGCTTGTCTCTTGGAGAGTCAGGAGAAGTTTGATGGAAGGGCTCTGATGGTGCAAGTTGTGAGTACCCCTGCTCTGAAAGAGGTCAGGAAGTGGTCACTCTGTTTCCCCAGCCCTCTCTAGTGCTGGTCCAAGGCTGAACTCTTCAGGTTGACCAGCCTAGGCCTCAACAGAAAGTATGTCTACAGACTTTATCATTGTTCCTTTGGCTGCCTGCATGATATATATATATATATATATATGTGTGTGTGTGTGTGTGTGTGTGTATTATATATATATATGTATATATAATTTTGTATTATTTTCTTAACTACTGCTTGCTTTCTGAGCAACCTACCACTCCAATATCTGCTCCCAATCCAACTGTTGTGTTTCATTTCCTATTGGTTCATACCTGACTGTAGTCTCTGCTGTTTGAATGAGGTCAGGCTATCTCCCATTTCTTCTTCATTCATGTTCTTAGTAGGTTCCATCACATGTGGCTTCCTATACAAACACAAGTTCTTTCCCTCAGATGTCAGGAATAGCCAGGGAAATGAGGATTGTATACACAATATTCCCCATAAAATCTAAGTCATTTGAATTTGAACACAATCTCATGCTTCTTCTCTGGGCTATATCTCTGAGAAGGCCCTCATTATCCTAGGTGTCCATACCCCAGAACTGGGATCATCTCAATCCTTTTTGATCTAGTTTGAATGTGTTCCTCAATGTTTATCCATTGGAAAGCTAATCCGCAATGAACAGTGTTGAGAGGACAGATGGCAGGACACAATGGGATCATGAGTATTCTGCTTTAAAGAAGGGGTTAATGTCATCATCAGAGGAATAGATTCCTTTGGCCTGACAGGACTTGTCACTTTCAGTCTTCCCAGTTGTGTAATCAGATGGAATAAGAAGAAGGGCTTCACACAAAGAGAACTTCAGACCACTATCCCTCATGAACATTGATGCAAAAATACTCAATAAAACACTGGCATATCAGATCCAAGAACACATCAGTAAACTCATCCACCATGATCAAGTAGGTTTCATTCCAGGGATGCAGGGATGGTTCAACATACGAAAATCCATCAGTGTAATCCACCATATAAACAAGCTGAGAAATAAAAATCACATGATCATCTCACTAGATGCTGAAAAGAGCCTTCGACAAAATCCAACACCCCTTCATGATGAAGGTCTTGGAGAGATCCGGAATAACAGGAATATACCTAAACATAATAAAAGCTATATGCAGCAAACCAACAGCCAACACCAAACTAAATGGACAGAAACTCAACGTGATTACTTTAAAATCAGGAACAAGACAAGGCTGTCTGCTCTCTCAATACCTCTTCAATATTGTACTTGAAGTTCTAGCTGGAGCAATAAGACAATGAGGAGATCAAGAGGATACAAATTGGAAAGGAAGAGGTCAAACTTTCACTCTTTGCCGATGATATGATAGTTTATAAAAGTGACCCAAAAAAACTCTACCACGGAACTTCTACAGCTGAAAAATACCTTCAGCAAAGTGGCAAGATACAAGATCAACTCAAGAAAATCAGTAGCCCTACTATATATAGACAAAATGACTGAGAAAGAAATCAGAGAAACATCACCCTTTACAATTGCCACAAACAACATTAAATACCTTGGGGTAACACTAACCAAACAAGTGAAAGACCTGTATCACAAGAACATTGAGTCTTTAAAGAAAGAAATTAAAGAAGCCCTCAGAAAATGGAAAGATCCCCCATGCTATTGGATAGGTAGGATCAGCGTAGTTAAAAATGGCAATCTTGCCAAAAGCAATCTACATATTCAATGCAATCCCCCTTAAAATCCCAGCACAATTCTTCACAGACATAGAAAGAACAATTCTCAACTTTATATGGAAAAACAAAAGACCCAGGATAGACAAAACAACCATGTTCAACAAAGCAACGTCTGGATGCATCATCATACCTGACTTCAAGCTGTATTACAGAGTTATTGGCCTGAAAACAGCTTGATATTGGCACAAAAATAGACAGGTAGACCAATGGAATCTAATTGAACACCCCGATATTAACCCATGCACTTATGAACACCTGATATTTGACAAAGAAACTAAAATTATACAATAGAAAAAAGAAAGCATCTTCAACAAATGGTGCTAGCGTAACTGGATGCTGACATATAGAAGACTGCAGATAGATCCATGTCTATTGCCATGCATAAAACTTAAGTCAAAATGGATCAAAGACCTCAACATAAATCCAGTCACATTGAAACTCTTACAAGAGAAAGTGGGAGATACCCTTGAATGAATTGGTACAGGAGACAACTTCTTGAACATAAATCCATTAGCACAGACACTGATATCAACAATTAATAAATGGGACCTCCTGAAATGGAGAAGTTTCTCTAAAGCAAAAGACACAGTCAACAAGACAAAAGGGCAGCCCACAGAATGGGAAAAGATATTCACCAACCCCACATCTGACAGAGGGTTGATCTCCAAAATTTACAAAGAACTCAAGAAATAAATCTCCAAAACACCAAAGGATCCAATTAAAAAGTGGGGTACAGAACTAAATAGAGAGTTTTCAATAGATGAGTCTAAAATGGCTGAAAGACACTTAAGAAAGTACTGAACATCCTTAGCCACCCTGGAAATGCAAATCAAAACAACTCTGAGATACCACCTTACTCCTGTCAGGATGGCTAAAACAAAAAACTTCAATGACAGTTTATGCTGGAGACGATGTGGAGAAAGGGGAACACTCCTTTACAGCTGGTTGGAGTGCCAAGTAGTATAGCTACTTTGGAAATCAGTATGGAGATCCCTTAGGAAAATGGAAATCAGTCTATCACAAGACCCAGCAATTCCACTCTTAGGCATATACCCAAAAGATGCACATTCATACAACAAGGATGTCTGTTCCACTGTATTCATAGCAGCCTTATTTGTAATAGCCAAAACCTGGAAGCAACCTAGATGCCCTTCACCTGAAGAGTGGATAAAGAAAATGTGGTACATTTACACAATGAAGTATTATTCAGCAGAAAAAAAGAAAACAATGGATTCTTGAAATTTGCAGGCAAATGGATGGCACTAGAAGAAACCATCCTAAGTGAGGTAACCCAGTCACAAAAAGACAAACATGGTATGCACTCTCTCATATATGGATTTTAGACATGAATCAGGAGATTGCCAGCCTTCAGAGTGTCTGGGAAACAGAACCTTCATCCAGTGGCTGATGGAAGCAGAGGCAGACACCTACTGCTAAACACTGAACTGAACTCCTGGAATCCAGTAACAGAGAGGAAAGACTGAGGAGCAAAGGGGTCAAGACTGGGCTGGTGAAAACTAGAGAAACAGCTGACCTAAATAAGGGGGAGCTCTTGGACCCCAGACTGATGGCTGGGAGGCCAGCATGGGTCTGATCCAGATCCCCTGAATGTGGGTGTCAGTGACAAGGCTTAGGCAATCTGTGGGGCCTCAGGTAGTAGATCAGTATTTATCCCTGGCGTACAAATGGCATCCCACATTGAGGGATGCTCTCTCAGCCTGAACTTTTCGGAGAGGGTCTAGACCCTGCTCTGAATGAAATGGCAGACTCTGGAGATCCCCCATGGAGGCCCTCACCCTCCCTGGGGAACGGAGTGACAACTGGGTGGGTGGCTGGGGGGGCCTGGTGGTGGTGGCAGGGGGAGAAGGTGAGTGAGAGGGAGCTGGGATTGACATGTGCTACATACTTGTTTCTCATTTAAATTTAAAAGTCTGCAAAAAAGAAGGGCTTCTCTAGATGTAGAGTTTATGCCCTTGCCCTTCCCTGTATCCAGAGGCAAGAAATTACCTCAATTCTTATTTAAGTGCCCAGTGTCAGACATTGTGTCAGAGCTGCACAAAACTAATGTCATCATGCACCATGAATGCCAGTCACCTAGACAGTATTTTCTAATTTCTAATTTCTCTCCTCTCCACCTCCACAGACTCCATCCTTATACCAGGATGGAGCGAGCATTGTTCTGCACCACTGTGGCTTCCTCTGGCAGGTATCCCTGCTCCTGATCTCACCCCTTCTAGCTCGTTTTCTACATAGTAGCTGAGCATAAACTATCAGCAGGGATGCCCTTCCATCGCTGAGGTGCCAGAATGCCTCTCATTTCCTCTGGGGACAAACGAAAAGTTCTTAGCATGGTTCATCATTCTTGCTGTGGTCCCTGTTCCCCTCCAGGCCCTCTTATGTCACCCTTTCCTGCTTAAATCTAGACCAGTGCCTCTCAAATCACTGTGCCAAGATGTCACCTGGACAGCCTTCTAAATCAGAAGCTCACTACTTGAAACTGTCCTATCCAAGATTCGGAGTCAGGAGAGATGGAGTGGGGCCTGAGAACCTGCATTTCTGGAGCTCCTAGGTGATGGTGAGGCAGAACAGATGGTCTCACACATGGTTTCTGTCCTCACTCAATGGAGTTGCTGCTGCTGCTGCTGCTGCTGCTGTGTGTGTGTGTGTGTGTGTGTGTGTGTGTGTGTGTGTGTGTATTAGGATTGGGACAGTGGTACACAGTTTTTCCCTAAAAGACTTTCTCTCCTCAGGGTGGCGACTGCTTTCATTGTTCCAGTAGTCTGGGTTCAGTGCTGGCTACTTTTATCTACTATTATCACACTAATTATACCAGAAGACACTCATCACTAACTCAACTTATCATATTCTTTTATCCTGATTGAAGAAATTAAGAAGGCATGTTAGCTCATACAGGTATAATACACACACGTACACACATGCGCGCACGCACACACATGTACCCTACCTCACTTCACAACAGCCTACCTCACTTTAGTTGCTGTGATTTGTGATTCCTGGTTTCTTCATGGCTCAGTTTGTCTTTCCCATAGCCTCAGGACCCTTCCCCACCTCAGCTCTGGAGCAGACACATAGAGCCTGGGTTGACCAGTAGGAGTTCTGTGTCCATCACTTACCATGTGCTGGAGATGAGCAGCTGTGGATTCTCTGCCTCCAGGGCCCTGAGCTCCATCATCACCTGCCCACTGAGAGGGGCCTGGTCCAGTCTGCAAGCACAAGAGGGGGCTTGTTGTGGGATCCACCACAGGACCATGAGGCCTCAGGGTCCAGGGTCCTGGACTCTGTTGTCATAGATGGAGCCAGTGAGGAGCCTTAATAAAGCTTATTCTTGAGCTTAAACCAGGACAAAGGATGGATACCAGTAGCCTGAACAGAGGGAGATGTATCCATGACATAGTCTCAGTGGTGTTAGTCATTGTGCAGAGAGATCTGAAGTTTGGATGAGGACCTTTGGAACTTTCTAGAGTTGAAATGAGGGTCTTGTCATTTATATCCCATCATCACAGGTCAGTCATTAGGAAAAGAATGTCCCAGGGAAGGGAACATGGCTATAGATGAGGGGATGCTTGTTGGCAAAGGGTTGCAGAGTAGCTATCAGCATTCCCAGTGACTGGAGGTGATGGCTATATTCTCAAGAGGATTCTGGGAAAATCTTTAAAGTAAGCACATATTACTGGATCATGGGTATTCACCTTGAGGGAAAGAGCCTTGGTTCTGTTCTCATCTCCCTTGCCCTTTGCTTTAGTGCTAAGGGAGAAAGCCTTGTCCTTACACAGCAGCCACAACCTGAGGTCTGCTGGTCCCATTCTTGTTTTTTCAAGTTTCCGGGTTTCTGGGTGTTAGGGTAATGATCTTCTCCTGGTTTCCCCGCCCTCAGTCCATAACCATAGATATACCACTCATAGTGAAACCTAGTGACCCTCAAGGCCCCCAGCCTCTTTCTGTTCCAGAGCTTTCCCCAACTCTGACATTTTCTGGTCCCTGGCTTCATCCTGGTCCATCCAAGACCCATTTCTCCTTTAGTCTTCAGAAAATTGTCCTGAGACATTCAATAAAGTCACATCTATTACACCATTACATTCTCACAATACTGTTGACTCCATGGCATTCAGTAGACAGAGACGTGCTGACGGATGATCTATGTCTCTTTCTTTCCACCTAACTTCAGGAGGACAGAGCCATGTGTGTTTGTGACTGTATTCCTAGGGTCTGGAGCAGTTCTTGGTACACAGGGGCCCTGATATGGATGCATGTATATATGTATTCATGAATGAAGAAATGATTGAAGCACTGTCATGGAGTAAGGCAAACCTAGAGTCCATTAGAATAATAGAATAATATGATTACAGTCGTAAGCTACCTACCTGGTATCATCTTAGTTTTGTTTTGTTTTGTTTTTTGGTTTTATGAGACAGGGTTTCTCTGTATTGTTTTGGAGGCTGTCGGTACAGCCTGGCCTCGAACTCACAGAGATCCGCCTGCCTCTGCCTCCACTGCCCGGCCATCTTAGTTTTCATATATGTACATTTTATGTAATTACAATCCATTAGATGGGTATGACATTCCATTTAATAGGTGAGGACACTGAGTTCTAGAGAAGAGAGTGACTTGCCCAAGTCTCAGGGTATAAGTGGCTGACTCTGCATTGTCTGTCCCTTTTCTTTTCCATTACTCTTATTCTGCACACCCCACTTCCCTTCCCCTGCCTCCTGCCCAGAGGGACTCTTGGGGGTCTTACTTACCTCAGGGTTCTGAGGTTGCAGGCAGGATTCCTGAGCCCCTCACACAGCAGCCTCACACCACGGTCACCCAGGTCATTCAGCTGCAGGTCTAGCTCAGTCAGGCTGGATCTGGCCTTGAGCACTGAGGCCAGGTCCTCACAGTGTCTGGATGTGAGGCCACAGTTGACAAGCCTGCATGGAAGATGCTCACCATCAGCTCCTCCAGGGCTCACTGCTCTTGGGAACTGAGCTCAGTTCTCCCTTTGTGAGCCTGGCATGCTGTGTTAGCAGTGCTCAGCTCTCTGGGGTTCCTTTTCTAGTCTGGGTGTATAATTCCATGCTTCCCACAGCTGAGCAGCAGGAGCAGTGGAGAACAGCTTGGTGACCACTGCTCTGTTGCTCCTGGCAATGGCAGAGCTCAATGAGGCCCAGGACAGCTCACTGGCTCTATTTCAAGAGCCATCTGAAGTGATGTTCTACCAGACTATAGAATAGGACTTGATTTCACTCGTCATGTGAAACATTAATAAATATGGAGTCCACAGAAACAGAGTAGACACCTGATTATAAGGCCAGAGGGCAGGAGGAAAAGGGGAGGGGGATACCATTCCCTGGACCTGGAGCTTTCTCTCTCCTGCTTCACTTAGCCTCTTCCTCTGTGTTCTTCAGTTCTCCTGAAACCACTTCCTCAGGACGTTTGCTCCACTGGAGACCTCATGGGTCTGTTGTAAGCAATAGCTAGTGGGGCTCCTTGATGAATGTCAGTCTCTCATGATCTCCAACAACAGAATCCATTTATTTATCATAACATTCTGACCTCTGTTACAGGCAGAAGAATGCTGCCTGCAACCTCAGAATCCTGAGCTAAGTAAAACCCTCTGATCAAGAGGGGTTGGTGAATGTTTGATGAGTACCAAGCCTCACCCTAGACTCAGCTTTTGTGTCTGCTCTCCTGCCGTCCATCCCTGCTTCAGAGGAGAACCCAGGCCAGACTCACCACAGTGTCTTTAGGTGGCATCCAGGGTATCTCAGGGTCTTACAAAGATTCTGCACTGCAATACAGTTAATTGGATTTCCACTTAAGTCCAGCTCCTCCAGGCTTCCTGTGAAGCGAAGAGTGGAGAAAAGAATCTTCCAACTGGTGTCTGTGATAGGGTTCACCCTGGACCTGATGGAGAGAGATATGGTGATTTGGGTGAATGTAATGGGGGATGTGACTTCTGTGTGCATGGTCTGAGTGTACAGACCTACATAGCAGAATAGGTTTCTATCTGCTTGAGCGCCAGGCCTCCATATGTCACCCCCAGCTTCTATTTGCTCCTTTCTTCCAACATCTGGATCCTCTGCTCTGAGTGGTTCCTCATCTACATCCTTATCATAGCATGCTGTGTGTTCATTTTGTGTGTCTGTTTCTTACTAATCTAGGTGTCATCTTTTCTTAATAATCTAGAATGCCCAGCACTGGGCTTGGCACAAAGAAGGGCCTTTGTTACTCACACAGGCTCTTCCTTTAGATGTGAATGTACCTGCTTTCCTTTGGAACAGAATTCTAGAAGATGGAAAAGGGAGGGGGACAAGAGCTCAGCAGAGGTGTCTGTGCATGACTGTGATGTGTTGGTTCACATGATTCCTATATCTTTACAAGAATAGAAGACAACAGAGAAGGGAGAAAGAAGGGAAAAATGGAGGGAGGGAGGGAGAGAGAGAGAGAGAGAGAGAGAGAGAGAGAGAGAGAGAGAGAGAGAGAGAGAGAGAGAGAGAATTCCTTTAATGTGAAATACTAAGCAAATGAAGGGAGGAAAATAGTGAGTTCTAAGTCAGCCTAAGCTACAAATCAGAAGGAGCTGGGAGCAGCTCCAAGCCTGTATTGTGCAACATTATATCTCAAACATTAGAAAACAAAATGAAATAGCAAACTTAAAAAAAACCACAATTCCAGAAACACAGATGGAAAGTTGTCAACTTTTTTTTGAGACAGGGTTTCTCTGTATTGCTTTGGGGTCTGTCCTGGAGAGCTCACTCTGTAGCCCAGGCTGGTTTTGAACTCACAGAGATCTGCCTGCCTCTGCCTCCTGAGTGCTGGGATTAAAGGTGTGTGCCACCAATGCCTGGCTGGAAAGTGGCCAACTTTAACTGAAACAAAAAGTACAGGATTTTTCATTCCAATTTTACAAAAACAAAGAAATGTTTACAAACCAAATATTAAACTTTGAAGAATTGTGTTTCTAAAAGACTTTATTTTTACTTTATGTGTCCATTTATATTCCTTCCTTTCTGTGTCCACTATATGCATGCAGAATCCTACAGATGCTAGAAGCAGGGTCTTTAACCCTCGGGGACTGTTGTTAAAGGCAGTTGTGAGCCATCTGATGTGGGTCCTGGGAATGGATCTAGATCCTCTATAAGACCAGCAAGTCGTCTTAACCATGGAACCACTCTCCCGGCCCTCAAAGGATGACAGTTTTGATGTATGTTGAGTATTTGCACTGACTGAAAGTGGAACTTCAGAATGTGTTATTCAAAAAACAGTGCCATTAGGAGCCACACAGAGAAATTACTCACCTTGCCATATTTGATGGTTTAATGCCCTGGGCCGGTCCTTTCCCTTCCCTTGGCTTTGGCCAGTCTCCACCCCTGAAATCATTCCCTTGTGTGCAATGGCCTCCTGCCTGTCTCCCTGCCTTGTCTGGCTTTCTTTCCCTCTCAACTTTACTTTCTTACTAGCAGCTCAAACCTCTCTCTCTTCTATGGGGTTGCTCCATAATCCTAAGACCACTGTACTTTTCAAGCAGGCTGGTGTTCGTGGTTTCTCTTGCCCTATCTGGTATGCCTCTGTACCTACTTGGACTTCTTCTGAAGATCCACATCACACCACTTCTTCTTGCAACATCTGTATCAAGGTCATTCAAGATCACATGTTTATAACCATAGACACTTAGTAACAACCTTAAATGGCCAAGACCAGGAAAATGGTCCAATTAGCCAAGTTATTATCCCCAGGGAATATCATAGTGCTATTCAGAATGGTTACTAGACTTTTAGTAACTGGAGAAGACAGTCTTAATTCATTAAGAAAATAAACACGAGCATAAGATAACAGATATAGTGTGGCAGTGTATAGAAAAAAGATTGATATGTGCCAGAGGCCATTATCATTTATAAACAGTAGGTGGCAATTAGTATTCTAGGTGTCAACCCAGCAGAAAGAAATTCTCTGATGGGAAACCTTGTTCAAGCAAGGCTATGAGGCTACAGACTCCAGAACATCTTTTGCGTCTATATTACAGCAATTTTCCCCTAGTGGCTATGAGGAATTCCCTACTGTCTGTATCTAGTATGTGTGTATCTCATGAATACATCCCAATCTACTGGGCATTTTAATCTGTAGATTGTCAAGAAGGTGAACCCCCCTTAGCTGTATTGTCTAATGATATTAATAATGTTAGCTAATACAGGGTTTTCATGAATAAAAATGTATACAAAGAAATGCTAATATAGTCAAGGAGTGTAAGTCCCCCCCAAGAACTGTCTTGGGTTACAGCTTAGCCTGACATTATGAAAACAGCTGGAAGTCCCCAGCTGCCAAGATAGCTGTTTTAAACATTCAAAGTAGCTTTGGAGTAGACCAGGTGCCTTGCAAATGGGTTTTGAGATAAACTACTCCCAGGAAAATATAATGTTATTTACAAGGACATGTAGGCAGCTGTCTGGGTTGTTGAGCCAAGGTAAAAAGTGTGAAGCAAATCTCTGTGCCAGCCTCTCCGCTAGTTCTGGCTGACAATCTAGGACAGTGATTAACTCTCTGCACGCATTTCTACCGTCAGTTTTATCGCCTTGGTTCAATTATCATAGGGAAGGATTCTCTAACTGGCCAGGGCTACAAAAAATAAACTAACTTTATAGATCCATGAAAGAGTTACAAGTTTCTCTTTTTATGGTCAAGGATTACATACAGGACATGAAAATATATTTTAAGATTCAAAATGCTTTTAATGTCACTATATGCCTTGGAGAGTGCCACGGGAACTCATCTGCACTCATGCCCCTCCACCCCAGTCCTCTACCTTCTGTGGGGTGGGGGGACTCCCCGCCATACTGCTGTTCAGCAATGCACAATCCCTAATGACACATCTCTCTCCCTGACTTTTCTATGTTTGTTGATCACAAAATGTTAGTTTAAAATGTTTATACACTTAGAAACTTAGGATATAACAAGCAATTTTCTTATTTCTCATTGACACCTTAGCGAGTAGTAATATAAGGCTACCTCTGTAGATGATATAACAAAAAGACTTCTCTTTTTACAGTTGCCCACCAATTAAGGAATTGACTGAGACAAGTTACCTGGCTTTATTTCATGCAAGTCTGTCAGGATGATTCTGTTCCTTATCATTTACTAGGAAATGAAATATGACCTTCAAATGTAATGCCTCAAAGATTTTTGTAGGTATGTAAGGTGTAAGAACAAAGGAACAGTGGAGGAACAGCATGGGACACCATGAGAGGAGCATGAGAGAAGGAAAACATCATGTACAGTAGATTCAAAGGGAAAATCAAGAGTAAAGACAGAGCTAGAATGAGAGATAGAATAGAGAAAGCAGAGAGTGTAACAGAGGAACATTTTGAGAGAATGTAACATGAGAGAATAAAGGAGGAGTGTCAACTTGTATAGCCATTTTGGAGATTTGTATGGAGATTCCTCAGAAAAATAGGAATCAGTCTATCACAAGATCCAGCAATTCCACTCTTAGGCATATATCCAAAAGATGCCCATTCATACAACAAGGACGTCTGTTCTGCTATGTTTATAGCAGCACTATTTGTAATAGCCAGAACCTGGAAGCAACCTAGATGCCCCTCAACTGAAGAGTGGATAGAAAAAAATATAGTACATTTACAAAATGGAGTACTACTCAGCGGGGGAAAATGGAATTTTGAAATTTGCAGGCAAATGGATGGCACTAGAAGAAACCATCCTGAGTGAGGTAACCCAGTCACAAAAAGAGAAACATGTTATGTACTCACTCATTTTAGACATGGAACAGGGGATTGCCAGCCTACAATACCACTGCCCGAGAGTCTGGGAAACAGGGAGGACCCTAAGAGAGATATGCATGAACCTTCATCCAGTGGCTGACAGAAGCAGAGGCAGACACCCACAGCTAAACACTGAACTGAACTCCTGGAACCCAGTTGCAAAGAGGAGTGATGAGCAAAGGAGTCAAGACCTGGCTGGTGAAACCCACAGAGGCAGCTGACCTAAACAAGAGGAAACTCATGGACTCCAAACTGGTGACTGAGAGGCCAGCATGGTACTGATCCAGACCCCCTGAACCTGAGTGCCAGTGAGGAGGCCTCAACAATCTTATGAGACCTTGGGTAGTAGATCAGTGTTTATCCCTGGCATACAAATGGACTTTGGGAGCCCATTCTACATGGAGGGCTGTGCTCTCAGCCTGGACACATGGGGAGGGCCTAGGCTCTGCCTGAGATGATATGACATACTTTGAAAATCCCCCATGGAAGGCCTTACCCTCCCTGGGGAATGGCAGGGGATGGGATGGGGAGTAGGGAAGATGGGGGAGGAGGGGAGGGAGAGGGAGATTGGAGTAACATGTGAAGAAATTTTTATAGTTTTTATTTCAAAAATAAAAAAGAATAAAAAACCCTCAAAATGAAGGAATTGATAAGAATAGTTGCATTTTTCCAAAAAGTCCCTCAGAAAAAGTCTTGGCTTGGAGACACTATGGAGTTTTCCATTGAGCCCTGCCTACAAGGGGTTGGTTCTTCTTGGGCTGCAATAAATAGCTATGCCCCAATTCTTTACTTCATGCTGTGTACAAAATCTAGTCTTGGGATTCCTAACTGTGGTGTTTTGAATAAAATATGACCAAGAGTCCTTAGCATTTGAATTCTTTGTCCTCAATTGGTGGTACTATTTTAGAATACTTAGCGGTGTGGGTTTGTGGAAGGATGTTACAGGGGGCAGGTTTTAAGATTTCAAAGCCTTGAGCCATTCCCAGTACACTCTTTCTGCTTCCTGCTTGTGGTTCTAGAATGAGCTCTCAGCTTCTGCTCTAGTCACATCCTTTCCCTCTGCCACAATGGACCCTGATCCTTCTGGACCATAGGCCCAATAAACTCTTCTATTAGTTGTCCTGTCCACAGTGTTTTATCACAGCAACAGAAAATTAACCAACACACCAGGCAATCTCTCTATCAATGAGTTACATCCTTAGCCAGTAATATTTTGAGACAGTGTCACACAATGGTAGCCCAGGCTGTATTGGGACTATTGGTCTTTTTGTCTCAGACTTCTGAATTTGGGAAGACAGGTATGTGCAACCAAGCTCAGCTACCCAAATTCTTAATGCTGTCCTCTCCGAGGAATGGAATTCTGGAGAATACTAATCTTTGTTGTTTTGATAATTGATATATTCTCACTTTTTTACAACAAGCATTTTTTGTTTTATCTTTTGAGGCAGGGTTTCTCTGTGTAGCCTTGGCTGTCCTGGAACTCACCCTGTAGGCAAGATCCACCTGCCTCTACCTCCTGAATGTTGGGATTAAAGGCATGCACCACTACCATCAAGCAACAAGCAAGTTTTTAATGAGGTCATCCTAATCACATAAAATGAGTCATTGATACAACTTCCCATATGTGTGTAGCGAAGTTTGTCCATGTATGTGCTCATTGACCTGGTTCCTTCATCTCTTCATCCCCTTCCTGTTCTCTAACAGTTGCTCTACTACTTTTGAGTCATTTACTTTTCATGTGGGCTTTTGCTGAGTTTCCCAGATTGTTGTTGAAGTTCCTGAACTCAAGAAATCTCCCTGCTTTAGCCTCCCAAATTATGGGATTCCGATCTTAAGCCAGAAAGTCCAACTTAGCTTATCTGTAGAAAAGCTTCAGTGTGTAAAAAACAGAAGACTCAAATAAAAACATTTCTTTTCTGAGATTCTCTCCCTTTGTGGTGCATTTGGATAAGCATTCTCTCCTGTGATACCTGGTGTGTGCCTGATCATTGTAAGTATCACTCCTTAGGTAATTAATGTACTTGAATACTTTACCCCTTCTTTTTGAGGTTCTCATGGAAGTATCTATATTTATCCTCTGTTAAATGATTGGTAGGGCCATAAATGAATGCTTAATGAATATTGATGGTGTGAATCATCTAGAGGGGAGAGAGACACACACCCTGATACTGGGTCACCACTACAGCGCAGTGGAAGGGAAGTTTGCCTTGCTGCTTGGATTGGCAGGAAGTTAGGAAGCCTCCAGGCTGAGCACCAGGACAAGACTGCCTTCATTGACACATACAAGGAAGACATTTGGGCAGGGAAAACAGTGACTCTCACACTTATGCATTCTGAGGAGTTGGTGGAAAGACCGTAGGGCCAAGGTTACAGTCATGTGGATAGGGGATGGTGTCTCCCAGAGCTGAATAAGCAATTTCTCAAAGCGAAAGCATGGCAAGAGAGAGGACCAGTAACTGTGGGCCATTTGAACCTTGTGAAAGATGAAGATTTGAATCAGAGCAGGTGGGTAGTCTTTACCAAGGCATAAAGAAAGATAAAAGCCCATAGCCTCATCATATAGTCAGGCACACAGAGGCAAATAGAGAAAGACAATTAGAATCAGCAGCTGGATGTCACTGGTGACCTGTATCCTGTTGCCCTGGATCCAGCTAAGTGTGCTGAGAATATGTGTGCTCATGGAATCCACAGGGAAACTGGAGAGAGGGCTGTGTCTGGATACTCACAGAACCATCCTTGGGGCCGTCAGCGTTGGTCCCTGCTGTCCAGCCCCATCCAGCTGAAGCCTCTTCACATGGTGGCAGAACTTAATGCAGAAAGTGACCACCATGAGCTCCACATCTGTCTGGACCACCAGGTGCTTCACATTTGTCTGGAACACTGGGTGTGCCATATCTGTCTGGCCACACACCTTTAATTTTTGGAGATTGTACATCACCTGTGTCAGGAACTTTTCATTATGAATCTCATAAAAACAGTGAAACAACCCCAGAGAATAGAGATGCTGGTGCTGGGCCAATGCCCTGGCTTTCTCCAGAATTTCCCATAGGGCGTGCCGAGGCAAGCGGGTGGCGAAGATCTTCTCCAGTTCATTCATCCCTTGTTCACTCGACAGGCCGAACAGGAAGTGCATAGTGGGTGCCTCAAAGAGGTCTTCTTTTCCATACACTTCTATCAGTGTTTCCACAGTTCTGTAGATTTCTTTATCACCATGTTTCTCATTATTCCCCAAAATGCAAGATATCGCTGCAAAGAACTCCTGGAGACACACCTGGGAGAAGCTGTAGCTCAGAGATCTGGGCTGCTTTTGAAGGACTCTGGTTTTCAGGAAAGTGCCAATGACATTGCAAGCTAACCCTTTCTTCAAGAGATCTCTTTCACAGAACAGGGTCCTTCTTCTCCAGATCCCTTCGGCAGCCAGCGAGCAGAGAGCTCTGAGCTGGGTCCCTAGGGCATAACCTGAGAAAGTCTGGGAAAGGTATTTCAGGCAGAGGGCTGTGGTGGTCTGTGAGGTCAGTGAGAGGTTTCTCCCCTGCTCCATCTGCTGCTTCAGGCAAGTGCAGGCTAGCCAGGACACCCAGGGCACCACACACAGTGTTGAGAGCACTGGGTTTGATTTAATCAAGCTAAAAGCTGCAGTTGCTTCTCTTTTCTTTGTAAAATATTGGTTGAGATATTCCTTCTGCCCAGACTCAGAGAAGCCCAGGACTTCCACCCAACGTGGCTGCCCCAAAGAAGGAATGATCTTCTGTGGATATGTAGTCCGAGCTGTGAGCAGCAATGAAGCCTCAGGAAGGACAGATTTCCCCAGCAAACTGCCCAGCAGTCTGTGCACTGGCTGTGGCTGGCTCCAGTGCAGACAGAGCTCAGGATTCTTCTCTTCCAGGACCCATGCTGGCTCATCTATGCCATCCAGGATGAAGAGCAGCTTCTCAGGGTGAGACAGGATCTTTCTGATGGGATCCTTAGCCTGGTCTTTTGCTATGAGCTCAGTCAGACTCAGCTGCTTGCACTGGGCCAGCTCTCTGCAGCTGAAGTAGAAGACATGCTGGAAGCGATCTCTGTAGAGCTGGCCTTCCCCCCATGCTCTCCTCACCTGCCTGGCCAGCGTTGACTTCCCAATCCCAGCAGCTCCCTCTAATATGACTAATTGAGGCTCTTCCTGGGTATCTAGACTTGGGCGAAATAAGTCTTTGATCTCAATTAAATGTCCTTTCTCTTCTTTTACACATTGGTGCCTGCTTTTCTTGGCCAAGTTTTCACAGCCTCTTGGGCAAGATTTTTGTAGAAGTAGTAGCTGTGTGAAATTTTGGAGCAAATCCTCTGTTTTCAAGGTCTGTGTGTGGCAAAGATTCCCTCCTCCTTGGTTTTGATATATTTTTGTAATGATTCCTAAAAAAGGGAGAGAAAGATGGAGCATATAGAGTTATTTGTTATTTCATTCCTTTCTTTCTTCCATCTTTCCACTCTTCAACAACCAGATAAGCATAGGTATCCCTCTAAGCTGTACAACAGACTGGTTGTGGGCCCAGGATATTCTGAACAGTGCAATTCAAAGAATGTGAGCTTTATAATAGAAGATTCTACTTAAAGTCTTCACTTGACCTACAATAATGCTGTGTGACCTTCATCCACACATCATATAATTATCAATGTCTTACTCTGTTGCAGACCTGCTCTTGGGTCTGAGAAAAAAGGGTGAGTTCACAGATACAACTTTGTCCACATTCAGTCTATGCAATGATCCAGTAGCTCCACTGAGCTCTGGCTTTCTCATCTATAATTTGGGGCTGTGGTTTGTCCTGTAGGAGGCCACAGAATACTGGGGAGATTACAGACAGTGGAGTCATTGTCTGCTCCAGATAGATCCCGTTGGCCCCCACCATTGAAGCCCTGACAATATCATTTTTTAAGTCCCTAGATTTTGTGTCTGATGGAATGGTCTTGGGATATCTTAGAGTTTATGCTTTAAGACATGGACTTGCCCCTGTCCCCAGCACTGGCAATCAAAGACTTATATTGTACTGCCTTCCAGATAACAGTTGATATCAACAGGCCTTGTTTGTGGCTACTATTTGGATGTTTTTGCCCCACTAAAACTCAGTTGCCAATGTAGCAGTAAGAGGACAAGGGTCTAGCACTAGTGTTTGGAGTCATGGGGGTGGACCCCTTATTAATTGGTCAATAGTTTTCTTTTAGGAATGGTCAAGCTATTGGGGAGATGGATTCCCTTTTCCTTGGGCAGGCACCTGCTTGCCTGTATACTTTTTTTCTCCCCTAAGCTGAGCAGTCATAGTTTCTACTTGAATTTCCAGACTCCAGAACCATGCTTTAATATACATGCTCTAAACAAACAAACAAACAATAAAAAATTAAAGCCACTGAGTATGATAGTGTTGTCCTGTAATTCATCTCTTAGAAGACAGAGGCAGAAGGATTTCAGAGCCAGCCTTTTTCCATATGATGAATTTGAAAACATCCTGGGCTAAAATCAGTCACTCAGTCACTCAGTCACTCAGTCACTCAGTCACTCACTCACTCACTCACTCACTCACTCACTCACTCACTCACATACATAACTACATAACATATTAACAAAAGATCCCCAGTCTCTGTTTCCTGTCCTGGCAATGGAAAACAAACTAACACACTTGCTCTTGATGTAATCTGCTCTACGGTTCACACAGCATAGTTTGCCGGCTCCCTGCTCCGGCCCTACTCCCACTTCCTTCAACCAGTGCCTCCAAAGACCTTCTCTTCACTTTTGTATCTGACCACAAACCTCATATCTGCATCTTCTTTAGAAGGAACTCATGACAAGGCAGATAGGATGATGCTCAATGAACCAGAAACCAAGCTCATCCCTCAACACCCAGGTTGCATAAAGTACAAGGCCTGTCCTGCCTTGGTCAAAGTTTAGGAGAGTATTTGGTGACCACACAGTTAACACAATTAGCCCTTGAGAATCTGGCTTCAGGGGCCAACTTTCTCTGAAATCAGGATCCATAGATCTGCTGTCATTGTCTTTTGTAGGACAACATCTAACATCTCCTGAGTGCAGTAGGCCGGCTACTCATGTCTGTGGCCGAGGTCTACCTGGCTCAGGCCATGTCTGCCAGAGGTTCAAAGGGATGGCTCAGCTCTTCCTAGGCTATGCTTTTCAAGATCTGCCAGCTAGAATGTATCTGTTACCATGCCCACATCAGTTCTGTCATACTTCAAAAGCTCCTGGGGCAGCAAGATGATTCAGAAGTTAAAGAGCTGTCAGCAGAATTTGGGTCCCACAACCCTATGCACATTCTATATTTGCATTGTGGCCTCTGTCACTTCAGGCTCAGTAAACTGAGAGAGATCCCCAGAGCAAGATGGCTACCTATATTTGCTCCATTGACAAGCTCATTCATTCTTCCTCAATGAATAAAGAGAGAGCAACTGAGGAAGATCCTGGACATCAATTTATGGAGTCCACATATACACACAGCACAACTCCCAACATATGTATACCCAACATATACAAACATGCATACACATATGTATCCACAACGCACGCATACACATAAAGTAAAAAGACCATTTTTAAATGTAAAGACAATGAGAAATATCCTAAGTGAGAAAAATACTGCACTTTCTCTATCATATGTGGAACCTAGCTTTATATATTTAGATTTATATATTTAATTTGTTTTTAAGTTTACGTTAGTTAATTTTGAGAATTCACTACATATATGCTATATTTACATCATTTCCACCCTTCTCTAACTTCTCTATCCCCTCTAACTCCACCTGTGTCCCCTCTTTCCCACTAAATTCGCCATATCTTTATTGATTTTTACATATATGCATACATACATACATACATACATACATACACACACACACACACACACACACACACACACACACACACACACCCTGCTGAGTCCATATAGTGCTGCTGTTATATATTTCATTCTGACCACTTGGGGATTGGAGAGCCTATGAGGGACTCATTGCTGGAGAAGACTAATCATCCTTTTCTTAGTAACCATTAATTGTTTGTAGCTTTTCATCTAGAGGTAGAACCACGTGAGATGTATCTGGAGTGTCTCTAGAGTTCAGGAAACTATATGAACCCAAGAAAAGGCTAAAGTAAGGGTCTTAAGGTATAGATAGTGTAGAACACTTGTGATTTGAAAGTGGGGTTCTTGTTTTATGTGAGGATAGGGATTGGGTGACAGAGGAGAAGATTTGGTGGGTATGGGCTAATCAAAACTAATAATTTATGAAAGATCATTATAGAAACCCACTACTTTATAAGTGTCCTAGATGGTTTTATGTGAACCTGAGACCTTTGAGAAGTAAATGTCTCTATAAGACCAGGGCTTAGGCAAATGTGTATAACATTTTCATAAATATTGATTGATGTGGCAAGGCTCACACCATTGGTGATGGTGGCATCCTTGGGATGGTGGTCTTGGTTATATCAGAAAGCCAGCTGAGCAAACCTTGTAGAGCAACCCACTAAGTAGTGCCCTTCTGTGGTTCCTTCATCAGCTCCTGCCTTCAGGTTTCTTGCCTTGTTTGAGTTCTTGTCCTGACTTGCTCTGAAGTTGAACAGTTATGATGAAGTATAAGACCAATAAGTTTTTCTTCTCCCAGTTTCTTTGGTCATGATGTTTTATCACAGCAATAGTAATGCTAAGTAACTAAGACTGTAAGTTAACAAAAAATATTACTTAAATAAATGCAGGCTAGTGAGCCATGGGTGCACTGTGCTTTCTTAAGAAGACACAAGTCGTTAAAGGGAAATTTCAATGCCAAGCATTGAGTACCTCCCTAACAGTTTTTTGGTCAAGGAGGATGCAGAGACTCCAAAAACAACAAAATCTGTTGCTGTTGCTCTTGGTAGTCTAGCCTGACTAAAGTGAAGAATGTATTGCTGAAGACACAATATACTTTTGTTACAGGATGTAGGAAAACCAAGTTGAAATAGACATGCAATTTTTTCATCCTGGCTAGCTTTCATAGTACTAGGTGTTATGATGCCACTGCAGAAGAAAACCCATCAATGCTATTACCTGGTGGTGACTCTGAAACCTGCAATAGTGACCTGCCAGGCAAGATATGTTCACTGGTGCAACAGTTGCATGAAGATTATAGTGCAATCAATTGCTTGCTTATTAGGTTTGAGGAATTTTCTTTCTTTTTCCTTCCTTCCTTCCTTTCTTCCTTTTTTTCGAGACAGAGTTTCTTTGTGCAACAGCCCTAGCATTCCTGGAACTCACTCTGTAGACCAGGCTGGTCTCAAACTCACAGATACCCAGCTGTCTTTGCCTTCTGAGTGCTGGGATTAAAGGCATGCACTACCACACCCAACAGCTTTGAGGAATTTCTGATGAGGTTTGAATTTCAAGGGAGGGATTTCATGCCTGGTACTGTAAATGTGGACTAAAAGACTATGGATTCAGAGATCATAGGTGCTATGGGAAGATCCATTGCTGTTGTTTTACTAAATGCATATATTGTTTAACTGCCTTATGATATTTATATTTATTCCTAGAGATTGGCATTTCTCTCAGTCTTGGCCAGAGAACTCTCTCTATGCAGCAGGCAGCAAGTAATGCAGATATTCATAGTTAAAATGCTGATTAAATGTCTGTTGTACGCTTGGCTCTAAGTGGGGTATCTAAGTGGGGTCATGAAGGTTCTGGGACATGGAAGAAGAGTTGGCAGAAAGAATGAAAGAGATGGAGGATAGGAAGGAGTGTTTTCTCTGAGATGTGTTTTGTTACATGGCTGTTGTGCTCATGAATTCACTATAGCTATAGTCGCTTAAACATGACTTTCACCATACCAAGCCAACAAGTTCAGTTATTATTCTATTAGGTAGCACTAATTATATTGAGAGTTTAAACAACAACAACAAACATGCAAATCAACAAGACAGCAACAATAACACAAAACAAAACGCAAAGGGAAAAGACTTGAAAATGGGGGCAGATGTGTTGGGAGGATGTCCTGGCAGAGTGAGAGAGAGTTGGGAGTGGGAGCCAAGAGGGGTCATTTCTAGCCTATGACATTTAACATTCCTCCGTGGCTCCTCTGACCCTCCATTTAAGATGCCTGTCCCAGGTGGAGGCTCACCAGCGATAACTGCCATCTATGTGGACTAGAAGTCCCATCCGCAGCTGCCAGCTTGCTTATGTTTAGTTCTGAATCCAGACTAGTCAGGTTTCCATTTAACAAGCCCCTTACCTGAGTTGAGACTTCGTCTCCACCGTTTATGACCTGAGCTCAGTAGTTGTGGGGAGCCTTGGTGGCTAGTGGGATAAATGTATGGTCTCATTGTTGAGCCTGGAAATGATAAAGAAAGGGACATGGGA